GCCTCAGACCGAATCCACTATCTTTATCCTTCAAAATCCAAAGAAAATGGCCTTTCAAAAAAAATTGCTCAAATAATTACGAAAATGACATCCCAACATATATTGGCCCAATTTGGTGCTTAATTGACTTTATCATCGGCGCAGAATAGAATCAATAGACTTTATTATCGGTGGAGAATAGCCTCCAGCCGAATCCGTGATCTGTAGCCTACAAAGTCGAAAGAAAACGACATTTCGAAAAAATCGCCCGAAATCTGTGATGGTACCCCCTTTGGAGTTTGCCAAAAATGGACCAGGAAAAAATCCGCACAAATTGGCCCTGGATGGACTTAATCGTAGTTGAAGAATAGCCTCAGGCCGAATCCACCATCTTTTTCCTTCAAAATCCAAGGAAAATGGCCTTTCAAAAAAAATTGCTCAAATAATTACGAAAATGCCATCCCAAAATATATTGGCCCAATTCGATGTTTAATTGACTTAATCATCGGCGCAGAATAGGATCAATATACTTTATTATCGGTCGAGAATAGTCTCGAGCCAAATCTGTGATCGGTAGCCTCCAAAATCGAAAGAAAACGGCATTTCGGAAAAATCGCCCGAAATCTGTGATGGTACCCCTTTAGAGTCTGCCAAAAATGGACCTGGATGAAATCCGCCCAAATTGTCCCTGGATGGACTTAATCGTCGTTGAAGAATAGCCTCTGGCCGAATCCACAATCTTTATCCTTCAAAATCCAAGGATAATGGCTTTTCAAAAAAAATTGCTCAAATAATTACGAAAATGTCATCCCAAAATATATTGGCCCAATTCGGTGCTTAATTGACTTAATCATAGGCGCAGTATAGGATCAATAGACTTCATTATCGGTGGAGAATAGCCTTGAGCCAAATCCGTGATCTGTAGCCTCCAAAAAAGAAAGAAAATGGAATTTCAGAAAAATCGCCCGAAATATATGATGGTACCCTTTTGGAGTCTGCCAAAAATGGACCCGGAAGAAATCCGCCCAAATTGGCCCTGGATGGACTTAATCGTCGTTGAAGAATAGTCTCAGTCCTGAATCCACCATCTTTATCCTTCAAAATCAAAGGAAAATGGCCTTTCACCAAAAATTGCTCAAATAGTTACGAAAATGTCATCCCAAAATATATTGTCCCAATTCGGTGCTTAATTGACTTAATCATAGGCGCAGTATAGGATCAATAGACTTTATTATCGCTGGAAAATAGCCTTGAGACAAATCCGTGATCTGTAGCCTACAAAATCGAAAGAAAATGGCATTTCGATAAAATCGCCCGAAATCTGTGATGGTACCCCTTTGGAGTCTGCCATAAATGGACCCGGAAGAAATCCGCCCAAATTGGCCCTGGATGGACTTTATCGTCGTTGAAGAATAGCCTCAGGCCGAATCCACCATCTTTATCTTTCAAAATCCAAGGAAAATGGCCTTTCAAAAAAAATTGCTAAGATAATTACGAAATTGCCATCCCAAAATATATTGGCCCAATTCGGTGCTTAATTGACTTTATCATCGGCGCAGAATATGATCAATAGACTTTATTATCGGTGGAGAATAGCCTCGAGCCGAATCCGTGATCTGTAGCATCCAAAATCGAAAGAAATGGCATTTCAGAAAAATAGGCCGAAATATGTGATGGTACCCCTTTGGAGTCTGCCAAAAATGGACCCGGAGGAAATCCGCCCAAATTGGCCCTGGATGGACTTAATCGTTGTTGAAGAATAGCCTCAGGCCTAATCCACCATCTTTATACTTCAAAATCCAAGGCAAATGGCCTTCCAAAAAAAATTGTTCAAATAATTACGAAAATTCCATCCCAAAATATATTGGCCCAATTCGGTGTTTAATTGATTTAATCATCGACGGAGAATAGGATCAATAGACTTTATTATCGGTGGAGAATAGCCTCGAGCCAAATCTGTGATCTGTAGCCTCCAAAATCGAAAGAAAACGGCATTTCGAAAAAATCGCCGGAAATCTGTGATGCCCTTTGGTGTCTGCCAAAAATGGACCCGGAAGAAATCCGCCCAAATTGGCCCTGGATGGACTTAATCGTCGTTGTAGAATAGCCTCAGGCCGAATCCACCATCTTTATCCTTCAAAATCCAAGGAAAATGGCCTTTCAAAAAAAATTGCTCAAATAATTACGAAAATGCCATCCCAAAATATATTGGCACAATTCGGTGCATAATTGACTTAATCATCGGCGCAGAATAAGATTAATAGACTTTATTATCTGTGGAGAACATCGTCGATCCAAATCCATGATCTGTAGCCTCCAAAATCGAAAGAAAATGACATTTCGGAAAAATCGCCCGAAATCTGTGATGGTACCCCTTTGGAGTCTGCCAAAAATGGACCTGGAAGAAATCCGCCCAAATTGGCCCTGGATGGACTTAATCGTCGTTGAAGAATAGCCTCAGGCCGAATCCACCATCTTTATCCTTCAAAATCCATGGAAAATGGCATTTCAAAAAAAATTGCTCAAATAATTACGAAAATGCCATCCCAAAATATATTGGCCCAATTCGGTGCTTAATTGACTTAATCATAGGTGCAGTATAGGATCAATAGACTTTATTATCGGTGGAGAATAGCCTTGAGCTAAATCCGTGATCTGTAGCCTCCAAAATCGAAAGAAAATGGTATTTCGAAAAAATCGCCCGAAATCTGTGATGGTACCCCTTTGGAGTCTGCCAAAAATGGACTCGGAAGAAATCCGCCCAAATTGGACATGGATGGACTTAATCGTCGTTGAAGAATAGCCTCAGGCCTGAATCCACCATCTTTATCCTTCAAAATCAAAGGAAAATGGCCTTTCAAAAAAAAATTGCTCAAATAATTACGAAAATGTCATCCCAAAATATATTGGCCCAATTCGGTGCTTAATTGACTTAATCATAGGCGCAGTATAGGATCAATAGACTTTATTATCGGTGGATAACAGCCTTAAGCAAAATCCGTGATCTGTAGCCTACAAAATCGAAAGAAAATGGCATTTCGGAAAAATCGTCCAAATCTGTGATGGTACCCCTTTGGAGTCTGCCAAAAATGGACCCGGAAGAAATCCGCCCAAATTACCCCGGGATGGACTTAATCGTCGTTGAAGAATAGCCTCTGGCCGAATCCACCATCTTTATCCTTCAAAATCCAAGGAAAACGGCCATTAAAAAAAAAATTGCTCAAATAATTACGAAAATGCCATCCCAAAATATATTGGCCCAATTCGGTGCTTAATTGACTTTATTATCGGCGCAGAATAGGATCAATAGACTTTATTATCGGTGGAGAATAGCCTCGAGCCGAATCCGTGATCTGTAGCCTCCAAAATCGAAAGAAAATGGCATTTCGGAAAAATCGTCCGAAATCTGTGATTGTACCCCTTTGGAGTCTGCCAAAAATGGACCCGGAAAAATCCGCCCAAATTGGCCCTGGATGGACTTAATCATCGTTGAAAATTAGCCTCTAGCCGAATCCACCATCTTTATCCTTCAAAATCCAAGGAAAATGGCCTTTCAAAAAAAAAAAAAAAATTTGCTCAAATAATTACGAAAATGCCATCCCAAAATATATTGGCCCAATTCGGTGCTTAATTGACTTAATCATCGGCGCAAAATAGGAGCAATAACTTTATTATCGGTGGAGAATAGCCTAGAGCCGAATTCGTGATCTGTATCCTCCAAAATCGAAAGAAAATGTCATTTCCGAAAAATCGCCCGAAATCTGTGATGGTACCTCTTTGGAGTCTGCAAAAAATGGACCCGGAAGAAATCCGCCCAAATTGGCCCTGGATGGACTTAATCGTCGTTGAAGAATAGATTATGGCCAAATCCACCATCTTAATCCTTTAAATCCTAGGAAAATGCCCTTTAAAAAAAAATGCTCAAAGAATTACGAAAATGCCATCCCAAAATATATTGGCCCAATTCGGTGCTTAATTAACTTAATCATCGGCGCAGAATAGGATCAATAGACTTTATTATTGGTGGAGAATAGCCTCGAGCCGAATCCGTGATCTGTAGCCTTCAAAATCGAAGGAAAATGGCATTTCAGAAAAATCGTCCGAAATCTGTGATGGTACCCCTTTGGAGTCTACCAAAAATGGACCCGGAAGAAATCCGCCCAAATGAGCCCTGGATGGACTTAATCGTCGTTGAAGAATAGCCGCAGGCCGAATCCACCATCTTTATCGTTCAAATCCAAGGGAAATGGCCTTTAAAAAAATTTCTCAAATGATTACGAAAATGCCATCCCAAAATATATTGGCCCAATTCGGTGCTTATTGACTTAATCACCGGCGCTGAATAGGATCAATAGACTTTATTATCGGTGGAGAATAGCCTCGAGCCGAATTCGTGATCTGTATCCTCCAAAATCGAAAGAAAATGTCATTTCGGAAAAATCGCCCGAAATCTGTGATATGGACCCGGAAGAAATCTACCTAAATTGGCCCTGGATGGACTTAATCGTCGTTGAAGAATAGCTTATGGCCAAATCCACCATCTTTATACTTCAAATCCTAGGAAAATGGCATTTCAAAAAAAAAAACTGCTCAAATAATTACGAAAATGCCATCCCAAAATATATTGGCCCAATTCGGTGCTTATTGACTTAATCACCGGCGCAGAATAGGATCAATAGACTTTATTATCGGTGGAGAATAGCCTCAAGCAGAATCTGTGATCTGTAGCCTCCAAAATCGAAAGAAAATGTCATTTCGGAAAAATCGCCCGAAATCTATGATATGGACCCGGAAGAAATCTACCTAAATTGGCCCTGGATGGACTTAATCGTCGTTGAAGAATAGCTTATGGCCAAATCCACCATCTTTATACTTCAAATCCTAGGAAAATGGCATTTCAAAAAAAAAAATTGCTCAACCAATTACGAAAATGCCATCCCAAAATATATTGGCATAATTCGGTGCTTAATTGACTTAATCATCAGTGCAAAATAGGATCAATAGACTTTATTATCAGTGTAGAATAGTCTCGAGCCAAATTCGTGATCAGTAGCCTCCAAAATTGAAAGAAAATGGCATTTCGGAAAAATCGTTTGAAATCTGTGATGGTACACCTTTAGAGTCTGCCAAAAACGGACCCGGAAGAAATCCGCCCAAATTGGCCCTGGATGGACTTAACCGTCGTTGAAGAATAGCCTCAAGTCGAATCCACCATCTTTATCGTTCAAATTCGAGGAAAATGGCCTTTAAAAAAAATTGCTGAAATATTTACGAAAATGCCATCCCAAAATATATTGGCCCAATTCGGTGCTTAATTAACTTAATCATCGGCGCAGAATAGGATCAATAGACTTTATTATCGGTGGAGAATAGCCTCAAGATCCGTGATCTGTAGCCTCCAAAATCGAAAGAAAATGGCATTTCGGAAAAATCGCTCAAAATATGTGATGGTACCCCTTTGGAGTTTGCCAAAAATGGACCCGGAAGAAATCCGCCAAAATTGGCCCTGGATGGACTTAATCGTCGTTGAAGAATAGCCTCAAGTCGAATCCACCATCTTTATCGTTCAAATTCGAGGACAATGGCCTTTAAAAAAAATTGCTGAAATAATTACGAAAATACCATCCCAAAATATATTGGCCCAATTCGGTGCTTAATTAACTTAATCATCGGCGCAGAATAGGATCAATAGACTTTATTATCGGTGGAGAATAGCCTCAAGATCCGTGATCTGTAGCCTCCAAAATCGAAAGAAAATGGCATTTCGGAAAAATCGCTCAAAATCTGTGATGGTACCCCTTTGGAGTTTGCCAAAAATGGACCCGGAAGAAATCCGCCAAAATTGGCCCTGGATGGACTTAATCGTCGTTGAAGAATAGCCTCAGGCCGAATCCACCATCTTTATCCTTCAAAATCCAAGGAAAATGGCCTTTCAAAAAAAATTGCTCAAATAATTACGGAAATGCCATCCCAAAATATATTGGCCATATTCGGTGCTTAATTAACTTAATCATCGGCGCAGAATAGGATCAATAGACTTTATTATCGGTGGAGAATAGCCTCGAGCCGAATCAGTGATCTGTAGCCTCCAAAATAGAATGAAAATGGCATTTCGGAAAAATTGTCCGAAATCGGTGATGGTACCCCTTTAGAGTCTGACAAAAATGGACCCGGAAGAAATCCGCCCAAATTGGCCGTGGATGGACTTAATCGTCGTTGAAGAATAGCCTCAGGCCGAATCCACCATCTTTGTCCTTCAAAATCCAAGGAATATGGCCTTTCAAAAAAAAAAAAAAAATTTGCTCAAATATTTACGAAAATGCCGTCCCAAAATATATTGGCCCAATTCGGTGCTTAATTGACTTAATCATCGGCGCAGAATAGGATCAATACACTCTATTATCGGTGGAGAATAACATCGAGCCGAATACGTGACCTGTAGGCTCCAAAATCGAAAGAAAATGGCATTTCGGAAAAATCGCCCGAAATCTGTGATGGTACCCCTTTGGAGTTTGCCAAAAATGGACCCGGAAGAAATCCGCCAAAATTGGCCCTGGATGGACTTAATCGTCGTTGAAGAATAGCCTCAGGCCGAATCCACCATCTTTGTCCTTCAAAATCCAAGGAATATGGCCTTTCAAAAAAAAAATAAAAATTTGCTCAAATATTTACGAAAATGCCGTCCCAAAATATATTGGCCCAATTCGGTGCTTAATTGACTTAATCATCGGCGCAGAATAGGATCAATAGAATTTATTATCGGTGGAGAATAGCCTCGAGTCGTATCCATGATCTATAGCCTCCAAAATCGAAAGAAAATGGCATTTCGGAAAAATCGCCCGAAATCAGTGATGGTACCCCTTTGCAATTTGCCAAAAATGGATCCGGAAGAAATCCGCCAAAATTGGCCCTGGATGGACTTAATCGTTGTTGAAGAATTGCCTCAGGCCGAATCCACCATCTTTATCCTTCAAAATCCAAGGAAAATGGCCTTTCAAAAAAAAATTGCTCAAATAATTACGAAAATGCCATCCCAAAATATATTGGCCCAATTCGGTGCTTAATTGACTTAATCACCTGCGCAGAATAGGATCAATAGACTTTATTATCGGTGGAGAATAGCCTCTTGCCAAATCCGTGACCTTTAGCCTCCAAAATCAAAATAAATGGCATTTCGGAAAAATCGCCCGAAATCTGTGATGGTACCCCTTTGGAGTTTGCCAAAAATGGATCCGGAAGAAATCCGCCCAAATTGGCCCTGGATGGACTTAATCATCGTTGAAGAATAGCCTCAGGCCGAATCCCCCATCTTTATCCATCAAAATCCAAGGAAAATGGCCTTTAAAAAAAAAAAATTGCTCAAATAATTACGAAAATGTCATCCCAAAATATATTGGCCCAATTCGGTGCTTAATTGACTTAATCATCGGCGCAGAATAGGAACAATAGAATTTATTATCGGTGGAGAATGGCCTCGAGTCGTATCCATGATCTGTAGCCTCCAAAATCGAAAAAATGGCATTTCGGAAAAATCTCCCGAAATCAGTGATGGTACCCCTTTGGAGTCAGCAAAAAATGGACCCGGAAGAAATCTACCCAAATTGGCCCTGGATGGACTTAATCGTGGTTGAAGAATAGCCTCTGGCCGAATCCACCATCTTTATCCTTCAAAATACAAGCAAAATGGCCTTTCAAACAAAAATTCCTCAAATAATTACGAAAAAGGCAATCCCAAAATATATTGGCCGTATTCGGTGCTTAATTAACTTAATCATCGGCGCAGAATAAGATCAATAGACTTTATTATCGGTGGAGAATAGCCTCGAGCCGAATCCGTGATCTGTAGCCTCCAAAATCGAAAGAAAATGGCATTTCGGAAAAATAGCCCGAAATCTGTGATGGTACCCTTTTGGAGTCTGCAAAAAATGGACCCGGAAGAAATCCGCCCAAATTGGCCATGGATGTACTTAATCATCGTTGAAGAATAGCCTCAGGCCGAATCCCACATCTTTATCCTTCAAAATCCAAGGAAAATGGCCTTTCAAAAAAAAAAAAAATTGCTCAAATAATTACGAAAATGTCATCCCAAAATATATTGGCCCAATTCGGTGCTTAATTGACTTAATCATCGGCGCAGAATAGGAACAATAGAATTTATTATCGGTGGAGAATAGCCTCGAGTCGTATCCATGATCTGTAGCCTCCAAAATCGAAAAAATGGCATTTCGGAAAAATCTCCCGAAATCTGTGATGGTACCCCTTTGGAGTCAGCAAAAAATGGACCCGGAAGAAATCTACCCAAATTGGCCCTGGATGGACTTAATCGTGGTTGAAGAATAGCCTCTGGCCGAATCCACCATCTTTATCCTTCAAAATCCAAGCAAAATGGCCTTTCAAACAAAAATTCCTCAAATAATTATGAAAAATGCAATCCCAAAATATATTGGCCATATTCGGTTCTTAATTAACTTAATCATCGGCGCAGAATAAGATCAATAGACTTTATTATCGGTGGAGAATAGCCTCGAGCCGAATCCGTGATCTGTAGCCTCCAAAATCGAAAGAAAATGGCATTTCGGAAAAATAGCCCGAAATCTGTGATGGTACCCCTTTGGAGTCAGCAAAAAATGGACCCGGAAGAAATCTGCCCAAATTCGCCCTGGATGGACTTAATCGTGGTTGAAGAATAGCCTCTGGCCGAATCCACCATCTTTATCCTTCAAAATACAAGCAAAATGGCCTTTCAAAAAAAAATTCCTCAAATAATTACGAAAAAGGCAATTCCAAAATATATTGGCCGTATTCGGTGCTTAATTAACTTAATCATCGGCGCAGAATAAGATCAATAGACTTTATTATTGGTGGAGAATAGCCTCGAGCCGAATCCGTGATCTGTAGCCTCCAAAATCGAAAGAAAATGGCATTTCGGAAAAATAGCCCGAAATCTGTGATGGTACCCTTTTGGAGTCTGCAAAAAATGGACCCGGAAGAAATCCGCCCAAATTGGCCCTGGATGTACTTAATCGTCGTTGAAGAATAGAGCCAGACCGAATCCACCATCTTTATCCTTCAAAATCCAAGGAAAATGGCCTTTCAAAAAAAATTGCTCAAATAATTACGAAAAATACCATCAAAAATGTATTGGCCATATTCGGTGCTTATTTAACTTAATCATCGGCGCAGAATAGGATCAATAGACTTTATTATCGGTGGAGAATAGCCTCGAGCCGAATCAGTGATCTGTAGCCTCCAAAATAGAAAGAAAATGGCATTTCGGAAAAATCGTCCGAAATCGGTGATGGTACTCCTTTGGAGTTTTCCATAAATGGACCCGGAAGAAATCCGCCCAAATTGGCCATGGATGGACTTAATCTTCGTTGAAGAATAGCCTCAGGCCGAATCCACCATCTTTATCCTTCAAAATCCAAGGAAAATGGCCTTTCAAAAAAAATTGCTCAAATAATTACGAAAATGTCATCCCAAAATATATTGGCCATATTCTGTGCCTAATTAACTTAATCATCGGCGCAGAATATGATCAATAGACTTTATTATCGGTGGAGAATAGCCTCGATCCGAATCACTGATCTGTAGCCTCCAAAATAGAAAGAAAATGGCATTTCGGAAAAATCGTCCGAAATCGGTGATGGTACCCCTTTAGAGTCTGCCAAAAATGGACCCGGAAGAAATCCGCCCAAATTGGCCCTGGATGGACTTAATCATCGATGAAGAATAGCCTTAGGCCGAATCCACCATCTTTGTCCTTCAAAATCCAAGGAAAATGGCCTTTCAAATAAAAAAAATTGCTCAAATAATTACGAAAATGCCATCCCAAAATATATTGGCCCAATTCAGTGCTTAATTGACTTAATCATCGGCGCAGAATAGGATCAATAGACTTTATTATCGGTGGAGAATAGCATCGATTCGTATCCATGATCTGTAGCCTCCAAAATCGAAAGAAAATGGCATTTCGGAAAAATCGCCCGAAATCAGTGATGGTACCCCTTTGGAGTCTGCAAAAAATGGACCCGGAAGAAATCCGCCCAAATTGGCCCTGGATGGACTAAATCGTGGTTGAAGAATAGCCTCTGGCCGAATCCACCATCTTTATCCTTCAAAATCCAAGCAAAATGGCCATTAAAAAAAAATTCCTCCAATATTTACGAAAATGCAATCCCAAAATATATTGGCCATATTCGGTGCTTAATTAACTTAATCATCGGCGCAAAATAGGATCAATACACTTTATTATCGGTGGAGAATAGCCTCGAGCCGAATCCGTGATCTGTAGCCTCCAAAATCGAAAGAAAATGGCATTTCAGAAAAATCGCCCGAAATCTTTGATGGTACCCCTTTGGAGTATGCCAAAAATGGACCCGGAGGAAATCCACCTAAATTGTCCCTGGATGGACTTAATCGTCGTTGAATAATAGCCTCAGGCCGAATCCACCATCTTTATCCTTCAAAATCCAAGGAAAATGGCCTTTCAAAAAAAAATTGCTCAAATAATTACGAAAATGCCATCCCAAAATATATTAGCCCAATTCGGTGCTTAATTGACATAATCATCGGGGCAGAATAGGATCAATAGACTTTATTATTGGTGGAGAATAGCCTCGATCCAAATCCGTGATCTGTAGCCTCCAAAATCGAAAGAAAATTGCATTTCGGAAAAATCGCCCGAAATCTGTGATGGTACCCCTTTGGAGTCTGCCAAAAATGGAGCCGGAAGAAATCCGCCCAAATTGGCCCTGGATGGACTTAATCGTCGTTGAAGAATAGCCTCAGGCCGAATCCACCATCTTTATCCTTCAAAATCCAAGGAAAATGGCATTTCAAAAAAAATTGCTCAAATATTTACGAAAATGCTATCCCAAAATATATTGGCTTATTCCGGTGCTTAATTGACTTTATCATCGACGCAGAATAGGATCAATAGACTTTATTATCGGTGGAGAATAGCCTCGAGCCGAATCCGTGATCTGTAGCCTCCAAAATCGAAAGAAAATGGCATTTTGGAAAAAGCCCGAAATCTGTGATGGTACCCTTTTGGAGTCTGCAAAAAATGGACTCGGAAGAAATCCGCCCAAATTGGCCCTGGATGTACTTAATCGTCGTTGAAGAATAGACCCAGACCGAATCCACCATCTTTATCCATCAAAATCCAAGGAAAATTGCCTTTCAAAAAAAAAATTGCTCAAATAATTACGAAAAATACCATCCAAAAATGTATTGGCCATATTCGGTGCTTATTTTACTTAATCATCGGCGTAGAATAGGATCAATAGACTTTATTATCGGTGGAGAATAGCCTCGAGCCGAATCAGTGATCTGTAGCCTCCAAAATAGAAAGAAAATGGCATTTCGGAAAAATCGTCCGAAATAGGTGATGGTACCCCTTTGTAGTCTGCCAAAAATGGACCCGGAAGAAATCCGCCCAAATTGGCCCTGGATGGACTTAATCGTCGTTGAAGAATAGCCTCAGGCCAAATCCACCATCTTTATCCTTCAAAATCCAAGGAAAATGGCATTTCAAAAAAAAAAAATTGCTCAAATAATTACGAAAATGCCATCTGATAACGATGTAATTGCACATATTTGCCCCTAGTTCTTATCTGTTTTAGGGGCATAGTCGTGTATATTTGGCCAATTTTACACCGGGTTGTGCTACTTTGTCATATGTCAGGTCCCAGACGTCGAAGGAAAGGCTAAGCACGAGTTTCGGGGCATTCGGAAGTCATTCGGTCGAGCTGGAGCCAAAACACGGGCACGCCTAAAACAAAGCACGGCCGTGTTCCTGGACCGTGTTTTTACTGTCAAGGCTTGATCCACGACTGACAAACACTAGCTCAAAACACGGGCAGGACTGACCCAGAACACGGCCGTGTCCATCATCAAACACGCCCGTGTTTTCCCCAAAGGCTGGCCGTGTATTTACCACGTGGCAAGGGCACTGGCGGGCTGGAGTAGAACACGGCCGTGCCCTCGACCGTGTTTTGCCCAGTGATGCCCTTTTAGGCAGATTTCGGCCAAAAGAGAAGGGGATTCGAGTTTTAGAGAGACAGAGCGATTCCTAGAGAGAGAAAGCGACGAACAAGAGTTCCCAAGTGCCCTAGCTTGATCTTCATCACCATTGGAGCTTGGCTTGAGCTTGGAGGAGTGCCGATCAACGTCCAGGAGCAGAAATCCATCCTTCACAGTATGATTTCCGCGTCTGAATCTGCTTTTGCTTCTTTCTCCATGGAGTAGTTCTCCCATTCATCTGGGTATGGGAAACCTTAGATTTGTATGTTAGGTTTGATTGTATGAACCCAAGTACTGATTCTACGATTTGATTATATTCAATTGAGGTTTGAATGATTGAATGGCATGAATCCTGATCAAATTCCTGTTGTTTATGCTTTAACCTAGAATGAGAATATCTGCCTAGGTTGATAGAGCATCCTTGATTGAAGGTAGGGAGTTGGTGACTTTAGTCGAGGAGCCAACTCACTATTCTGTACCGAATTTACTTCGGTAGTGGAGGTTTTGTTCGTTAGGGCCTCAATCTGTTTACTCCGGTAGAGGTTAGTCGCCCGCCAGAGACTCAGATTGAGAGGGTCTGGAGACCTTTAGTCGAGACTTCAGACTGCTTTAGAACCTTCGGCAGTATAACTATCATAGAAATTGAACTTGGTAATTGCAATCCGGCTTAACTGCAGTCTAGGGGGAACCATATCCGGGTGCTTCTCGTAACCTGAAAACAACCGTTTAGTTGCTTTGCTTGTTTGTTAATTTAGACCTGCACTAAAGTTTCATTGCTAGATAACAAGAATTCACCGAGTAGTCATCAAATTTAGGACCCGGGTTGACATTAAAACCCAAACCCGCTATACTACACTTTAGGAAGTGGTTACACTTGGCCAATTCCTAGAGTGACAGTAGGAGTGAGTCACCATCCCAAAATATATTGGCCCTATTCGGTGCTTAATTGACTTAATCATCGGCGCAGAATAGGATCAATAGACTTTATTATCGGTGGAGAATAGCTTCGAGCCGAATCCGTGATCTGTAGCCTCCAAAAAATCGAAAGAAAATGGCATTTCGGAAAAATCGCCCTAAATCTGTGATGGTACACCTTTGGAGTCTGCCAAAAATGGACCCAGAAGAAATCCGCCCAAATTGGCCCTGGATGGACTTAATCGTCGTTGAAGAATAGCCTCAGACCGAATTCACCATCTTTATCCTTCAAAATCCAAGGAAAATGGCCTTTCAAAAAAAATTGCTCAAATAATTACGAAAATGCCATCCAAAAATATATTGGCTATATTCAGTGCTTAATTAACTTAATCATCGGCGCAGAATAGGATCAATAGACTTTATTATCGGTGGAGAATAGCCTCGAGCCGAATCAGTGATCTGTACCCTCCAAAATAGAAAGAAAATGGCATTTCGGAAAAATCGTCCGAAATCGGTGATGGTACCCCTTTGGAGTCTGCCAAAAATGGACCCTGAAGAAATCCGCCCAAATTGGCCCTGGATGGACTTAATCGTCGTTGAAGAATAGCCTCAGGCCGAATCCACCATCTTTATCCTTCAAAATCCAAGGAAAATGGCCTTTCAAAAAAAAATTTGCTCAAATAATTACGAAAATGCCATCCCAAAATATATTGGCCCAATTCGGTGCTTAATTGACTTATTCATCGGCGCAGAATATAATCAATAGACTTTATTCGATGGAGAATAGCCTCGAGTCGTATCCATGATCTGTAGCCTCCAAAATCGAAAGAAAATGGCATTTCGGAAAAATCGCCCGAAATCTGTGATGGTACCCCTTTGGAGTTTGCAAAAAATGGACCCGGAAGAAATCCGCCCAAATTGACCCTGGATGGACTTAATCGTCGTTGAAAAATAGCCTCAGGCCGAATCAACCATCTTTATCCTTCAAAATCCAATGAAAATAGCATTTCAAAAAATAAAAAAAAATTGATCAAATAATTACGAAAATGCCATCCCAAAATATATTGGTCCAATTCGGTGCTTAACTGACTTAATCATCGGCGCAGAATAGGATCAATAGACTTTATTATCGCTGGAGAATAGCCTCAAGCCGAATCCGTGATCTGTAGCCTCCAAAATCCAAAGAAAATGGCATTTCAGAATAATCACCCGAAATCTGTGATGGTACCCCTTTGGAGTCTGCCAAAAATGGACCCGGAAGAAATCTGCCCTGGATGGACTTAATCCTCGTTGAAGAATAGCCTCAGTCCGAATCCACCATCATTATCCTTCAAAATCCAAGGAAAATGGCCTTTCAAAATAATTACGAAAATGCCATCCTAAAATATATTGGCCCAATTCAGTGCTTAATTGACTTAATCATCGGCGCAGAATAGGATCAATAGACTTTATTATCGCTGGAGAATAGTCTCGAGCCAAATCTGTGATCTGTAGCCTCCAAAATCGAAAGAAAATGGCATTTTTGAAAAATCGCCCGAAATCTGTGATGGTTCCCCTTTAGTATGCCAAAAATGGACCTGGAAGAAATCTGCCCAAATTGGCACTGAATGAACTTAATCGTATTTGAAGAATAGCCTCAGGCCGAATCCACCATCTTTATCCTTCAAAATCCAAGGAAAATGGCCTTTCAAAGAAAATTGCTCAAATAATTACAAAAATGCCATCACAAAATATATTGGCTCAATGTGCTTAATTGACTTTATCACCGGCGCAGAATAAGATCAATAGACTCTATTATCGGTGGAGAATAGCCTCGAGCCGATCCGTGAACTGTAGCCTCCAAAATCGAAAGAAAATGGCATTTCGGAAAAATCGTCTGAAATCGGTGATGGTACTCCTTTGGAGTTGCCCAAAATGGACCCGGAAGAAATCCGCCCAAATTGGCCCTGGATGGACTTAATCGTCGTTGAAGAATAGCCTCAGGCCGAATCCACCATCATTATCCTTCAAAATCCAAGGAAAATGGCCTTTCAAAATAATTACGAAAATGCCATCCTAAAATATATTGGCCCAATTCGGTGCTTAATTGACTTAATCATCGGCGCAGAATAGGATCAATAGACTTTATTATCGCTGGAGAATAGCCTCGAGCCAAATCTGTGATCTGTAGCCTCCAAAAACGAAAGAAAATGGCATTTTTGAAAAATCGCCCGAAATCTGTGATGGTTCCCCTTTAGTATGCCAAAAATGGACCTGGAAGAAATCTGCCCAAATTGGCCCTGAATGAACTTAATCGTATTTGAAGAATAGCCTCAGGCCGAATCCACCATCTTTATCCTTCAAAATCCAAGGAAAATGGCCTTTCAAAGAAAATTGCTCAAATAATTACGAAAATGCCATCCCAAAATATATTGGCTCAATGTGCTTAATTGACTTAATCACCGGCGCAGAATAAGATCAATAGACTCTATTATCGGTGGAGAATAGCCTCGAGCCGAATCCGTGATCTGTAGCCTCCAAAATCGAAAGAAAATGGCATTTCGGAAAAATCGTCTGAAATCGGTGATGGTACTCCTTTGGAGTCTGCCAAAAATGGACCCGGAAGAAATCCGCCCAAATTGGCCCTGGATGGACTTAATCGTCGTTGAAGAATAGCCTCAGGCTGAATCGCCCAACTTTATCCTTCAAAATCAAAGGAAAATAGTCTTTCAAAAAAAAAAATTTGCTCAAATAATGACGAAAATGCCATCTCAAAATATATTGACCCAATTCAGTGCTTAATTGACTTAATCATCGGCGCAGAATATGATCAATAGACTTTATTATCGGTGGAGAATAGCCTCGAACCGAATCCGTGATCTGTAGCCTCCAAAATCGAAAGAAAATGGCATTTCAGAAAAATTGCCCGAAATTTGTGATGGTACCCCTTTGGAGTCTGCCAAAAATGGACCCGGAAGAAATCCGCCGAAATTGGCCCTGGATGGACTTAATCGTCGTTGAAGAATAGCCTCAGGCTGAATCCACCATCTTTATCCTTCAAAATCCAAGGAAAATGGCCTTTCAAAAAAAAAATTGCTCAAATAACTACGAAAATGCCATCACAAAATATATTGGCCCAATTCGGTGCTTAATTGACTTAATCACCGGCGCAGAATAGGATCAATTGACTTTATTATCGGTGGAGAATAGCCCTGAGCCGATTCCGTGATCTGTAGCCTCCAAAATCGAAAGAAAGGCATTTCGAAAAAATCGCCCGAAATCTGTGATGGTACCCATTTGGAGTCTGCCAAAAATGGACCCGGAAGAAATCCGCCCAAATTGTCCCTGGATGGACTTAATCGTCGTTAAAGAATAGCCTCAGACCGAATCCACCATCTTTATCCTTCAAAATCCAAGGAAAATGGCCTTTCAAAAAAATTGCTCAAATAATTACGAAAATGCCATCCAAAAATATCTTGGCCATATTCCGTGCTTAATTAACTTAACCATCGGCGCAGAATAGGATCAATAGACTTTATTATCGGTGGAGAATAGCCTCGTGCCGAATCAGTGATCTGCAGCCTCCAAAATAGAAAGAAAATGGCATTTCGGAAAAATCGTCCGAAATCGGTGATGGTACACCTTTGGAGTCTGCCAAAAATGGACCCGGAAGAAATCCGCCCAAATTGGCCCTGGATGGGCTTAATCGTCGTTGAAGAATACCCTAAGGCCGAATCCACCATCTTTATCCTTCAAAATCCAAGGAAAATGGCATTCAAAACAAAAAATTTGCTCAAATAATTACGAAAATGCCATCTGATAATGATGTAATTGCACATATTTGCACCCCTAGTTCTTATCCGTTTGAGGGGCATAGTCGTGTGTTTTTGGACTATTTTACGCCGGGTTGTGCTACTTTGTCATATGTCAGGTCCCAGACGTCGAGGGAAAGGCTAAGCACGAGTTTCGGGGCATTCGGAAGTCATTCGGTCGAGTTGGAGCCAAAACAAGGGCACGCCTATAACAAAGCACGACCGTGTTCCTGGACCGTGTTTTTACTGCCGAGGCTTGATCCAAGACTGACAAACACTAACTCAAAACACGGGCGGTACTGACCCAGAACACGACTGCGTCCATCATCAAACACGCCCGTGTTTTCCCCAAAGGCTGGCCGTGTATTTACCATGTGGCAAGGGCACGGGCGGGCTGGAGCAAAACACGGCCGTGCCCTCGACCGTGTTTTTCCCAGTGATGCCCTTTTAGGCAAATTCCGGCCAAAAGAGTAGGGGATTCGAGTTTTAGAGAGACAGAGCGATTCCTAGAGAGAGAAAGCGACGAACAAGAGTTCCCAAGTGCCCTAGCTTGATCTTCATCACCATTGGAGCTTGGCTTGAGCTTGGAGGAGTGCCGATCAACGTCAAGGAGTAGAAATCCATCCTTCACAGTATGATTTCCGCGTCTGAATCTGCTTTTGCTTCTTTCTCCATGGAGTAGTTCTCCCATTCATCTGGGTATGGGAAACCCTAGATTTGTATGTTAGGTTTGATTGTATGAACCCAAGTACTGATTCTATGATTTGATTATATTCAATTGAGGTTTGAATGATTGAATGGCATGAATCTTGATCAAATTCCTGTTGTTTCTGCTTTAACCTAGAATGAGAATATCTGCCTAGGTTGATAGAGCATCCTTGATTGAAGGTAGGGAGTTGGTGACTTTAGTCGAGGAGCCAACTCACTATTCTGTACCGAATTTACTTCGGTAGTGGAGGTTTTGTTCGTTAGGGCCTCAATCTGTTTACTGCGGTGGAAGTTAGTCGCCCGCTAGAGACTCAGATTGGGAGGGTCTGGAGACCTTTAGTCGAGACTTCAGACTGCTTAAGAACCTTCCGCAGTATAACTATCATAGAAATTGAACTTGGTAATTGAAATCCGGCTTAACTGCAGTCTAGGGGGCACCATATCCGGGTGACCTCTCTTAACCTGAAAACAACCGTTTAGTTGCTTTGCTTGTTTGTTAATTTAGACCTGCACTAAAGTTTCACAAGAATTCGTCCGAAATGTGTAATGGTACCCCTTTAGAGTCTGCCAAAAATGGACCCGGAAGAAATCTGCCCTAGATGGACTTAATCCTCGTTGAAGAATAGCCTCAGGCCGAATCCACCATCATTATCCTTCAAAATCCAAGGAAAATGGCCTTTCAAAATAATTACGAAAATGCCATCCAAAAATATATTGGCGATATTCGGTGCTTAATTAACTTAATCATCGGCGCAGAATAGGATCAATAGACTTTATTATCAGTGGAGAATAGCCTCGAGCCAAATCCGTGATCTGTAGCCTCCAAAATCGAAAGAAAATGGCATTTCGGAAAAATCACCCGGAATCTGTGATGGTACCCCTTTGGAGTCTGCCAAAAATAGACCCGGAAGAAATCAGCCAAAATTGGCCCTGGATGTACTTAATCGTCGTTGAAGAATAGCCTCTGGCCGAATCCACCATCTTTATCCTTCAAAATCCAAGCAAAATGGCCTTTCAAAAAAAATTTCACAAATAATTACGAAAATGCCATCCCAAAATATATTGGCCATATTCGGTGCTTAATTAACTTAATCATCGGCGCATAATAGGATCAATAGACTTTTTTATCGGTGGAGAATAGCCTCGAGCCGAATCAGTGATTTGTAGCCTCCAAAATCGAAAGAAAATGGCATTTCGGAAAAATTGTCCAAAATCGGTGAGGGTACCCCTTTGGAGTCTGCTAAAAATGGACCCAGAAGAAATCCGCCCAAATTGGCCCTGGATGGACTTAATCGTCGTTGAAGAATAGCCTCAGGCCGAATCCACCATCTTTATCCTTCAAAATCCAAGTAAAATGGCCTTTCAAAAAAAAAATTGCTCAAATAATTCCGAAAATGCCATCCCAAAATATATTGGCCCAATTCGGTGCTTAATTGACTTAATCACCGACGGAGAATAGGATCAATAGACTTTATTATCGGTGGAGAATAGCCTCGAGCCGAATGCGTGATCTGTAGCCTCCAAAATCGAAAGAAAATTGCATTTCGGAAAAATTGCCCAAAATCTGTGATGGTACCCCTTTGGAGTCTGCAAAAATGGACCCGGAAGAAATCCGCTAAAATTGGCCCTGGATGGACTTAATGGTCGTTGCAGAATAGCATCAAGACGAATCCACCATCTTTATCCTTCAAAATCCAAGGAAAATGGACTTTCAAAAAAAATTGCTCAAATAATTACGAAAATGCCATCCCAAAATATATTGGCCCAATTCGGTGCTTAATTGACTTAATCACCGACGGAGAATAGGATCAATAGACTTTATTATCGGTGGAGAATAGCCTCGAGCCGAATGCGTGATCTGTAGCCTCCAAAATCGAAAGAAAATTGCATTTCGGAAAAATTGCCCGAAATCTGTGATGGTACCCCTTTGGAGTCTGCAAAAATGGACCCGGAAGAAATCCGCCAAAATTGGCCCTGGATGGACTTAATGGTCGTTGCAGAATAGCATCAAGACGAATCCACCATCTTTATCCTTCAAAATCCAAGGAAAATGGACTTTCAAAAAGAATTGCTCAAATAATTACGAAAGTGCCATCCCAAAATATATTGGCCCAATTCGCTGCTTAATTGACTTAATCATCGGCGCAGAATAGGATCAATAGACTTTATTATCGGTGGAGAATAGCCTCGAGCCGAATCCGTGATCTGTAGCCTCCAAAATCGAAAGAAGATGGCATTTCGTAAAAATCGCCCGAAATCTGTGATTGTACCCCTTTGGAGTCTGCAAAAAATGGACCCGGAAGAAATCCGCCCAAATTGGCCCTAGATAGACTTAATCATCGTTGAAGATTAGCCTCTGGCCGAAGCCACCATCTTTATCATTCAAAATCCAAGGAAAATGGCCTTTCAAAAAAAAATTGCTCAAATAATTATGAAAATGCAATCCCAAAATATATTGGCCCAATTCGGTGTTTAATTGACTTAATCATCGGCGCAGAATCGGATCAATACACTTTATTATCGGTGGAAAATAGCCTCGAGCCAAATCCGTGATCTGTAACCTCCAAAATCGAAAGAAAATGGCATTTCGGAAAAATCGCTTGAAATCTGTGATGTTACTCCTTTGGAGTCTGCCAAAAATGGACCCGGAAGAAATCCGCCCAAATTGGCCGTGGATGGACTTAATCGTCGTTGAAGAATTGCCTCGGACCGAATCCACCATCTTTATCCTTCAAAATCCAAGGAAAATGGCCTTTAAAAAAAATTAATCAAATAATTACGAAAATGCCATCCCAAAATATATTAGCCATATTCGGTGCTTAATTGACTTAATCATCGGCGCAAAATAGGGTCAATATACTTTATAATCGGTGGAGAATATCCTCGAGCCGAACCCGTGATCTGTAGCCTCGAAAATAGAAAGAAAATGGCATTTCGGAAAAATCGTCCGAAATCTGTGAGGGTACCCCTTTGGAGTCTGCCAAAAATGGACCCGGAAGAAATCCGCCCAAATTGTCTTTGGATGTACTTAATCGTCGTTGAAGAATAGCCTCTGGCCGAATCCACCTTATTTATCCTTCAAAATCCAAGGAAAATGGCCTTTCAAAATACAATTGCTCAAATAATTACGAAAATGACATCCCAAAATATATTGGACCAATTCGTTGCTTAATTGACTTTATCATCGGCGCAGAATAGGATCAATAGACATTATTATCGGTGGAGAATAGCCTCGAGCCGAATCCGTGATCTGTAGCCTCCAAAATCGGAAGAAAATTGCATTTCAGAAAAATTGCCCGTAATTTGTGATGGTACCCCTTTAGAGTCTGCAAAAATGGACCCGGAAGAAATCCGCCGAAATTGGCCCTGGATGGACATAATCGTCGTAGCAGAATAGCATCAGGCCGAATCCACCATCTTTATCCTTCAAAATCCAAGGAAAATGGACTTTCAAAAAAAAAAAAAATGCTCAAATAATTACTAAAGTGCCATCCCAAAATATATTGGCCCAATTCGCTGATTAATTGACTTAATCATCAGCGCAGAATTGGATCAATAGACTTTATTATCGGTGGAGAATAGCCTAGAGCCGAATCCGTGATCTGTAGCCTCCAAAATCGAAAGAAGATGGCCTTTCGTAAAAATCGCCCGAAATCTGTGATGTTACCCCTTTGGAGTCTGCCAAAAATGGACCCGGAAGAAATCCACCCAAATTGTCTTTGGATGTACTTAATCGTCGTTGAAGAATAGCCTCTGGCCGAATCCACCATATTTATCCTTCAAAATCCAAGGAAAATGGCCTTTCAAAAAAAAATTGCTCAAATAATTATGAAAATGCAATCCCAAAATATATTGGCCCAATTCGGTGTTTAATTGACTTAATCATCGGCGCAGAATAGGATCAATACACTTTATTATCGGTGGAAAATAGCCTCGAGCCAAATACGTGATCTGTAGCCTCCAAAATCGAAAGAAATTGGCATTTCGGAAAAATCGCCCGAAATCTGTGATGGTACCCCTTTGGAGTCTGCCAAAAATGGACCCGGAAGAAATCCGCCCAAATTGGCCGTGGATGGACTTAATAGTCGTTGAAGAATAGCCTCGGACCGAATCCACCATCTTTATCCTTCAAAATCCAAGGAAAATAAGCTTAAAAAAATAATTAATCAAATAATTACGAAAATGCCATCCCAAAATATATTAGCCATATTCGGTGCTTAATTGACTTAATCATCGGCGCAAAATAGGGTCAATATACTTTATAATCGGTGGAGAATATCCTCGAGCCAAATCCGTGATCTGTAGCCTCGAAAATAGAAAGAAAATGGCATTTCGGAAAAATCTTCCGAAATCTGTGATGGTACCCCTATGGAGTCTGCCAAAAATGGACCCAGAAGAAATCCGCCCAAATTGTCTTTGGATGTACTTAATCGTCGATGAAGAATAGCCTCTGGCCGAATCCACCATCTTTATCCTTCAAAATCCAAGGAAAATGGCCTTTCAAAAAACAATTGCTCAAATAATTACGAAAATGCCATCCCAAAATATATTGGCCCAATTCGGTGCTTAATTGACTTTATCATCGGCGCAGAATAGGATCAATAGACTTTATTATCGGTGGAGAATAGCCTCGAGCCGAATCCGTGATCTGTAGCCTCCAAAATCGAAAGAAAATTGCATTTCGGAAAAATCGCCCGAAATATGTGATGGTACCCCTTTGGAGTCTGCCAAAAATGGACCCGGAACAAATCCGCCCAAATTGGCCCTGGATGGACTTAATCGTCGTTGAAGAATAGCCTCAGGCCGAATCCACCATCTTTATCCTTCAAAATCCAAGGAAAATGGCATTTCAAAAAAAATTGCTCAAATATTTACGAAAATACCATCCCAAAATATATTGGCCATATTCGGTGCTTAATTAACTTAATCATCGGCGCAGAATAGGATCAATAGACTTTATTATCGGTGGAGAATAGCCTCGAGCCAAATCCGTGATCTGTAGCCTCCAAAATCGAAAGAAAATGGCATTTTGGAAAAATCACTCGAAATCTGTGATGGTACCCCGTTGGAGTCTGCCAAAAATGGACCCGGAAGAAATCCGCCAAAATTGGCCCTGGATGGACTTAATCGTCGTTGAAGAATAGCCTCAGGCCGAATTCACCATCTTTATCCTTCAAAATCCAAGGAAAATGGCCTTTCAAAAAAAAATTGCTCAAATAATTACGAAAATGCGATCCCAAAATATATTGGCCCAATTCGGTGCTTAATTGACTTAATCATCGGCGCATAATAGGATCAATAGACTTGATTATCGGTGGACAATAGCCTCGAGCCGAATCCGTGATCTGTAGCCTCCAAAATAGAAAGAAAATGGCATTTCGGAAAAATCGCATGAAATCTATGATGGACCCCTTTGGAGTCTGCCAAAAATGGACCCGGAAGAAATCCGCCCAAATTGGCCCTAGATGGACTTAATCAGCGTTGAAGATTAGCCTCTGGCCGAATCCACCATCTTTATCCCTCAAAATCCAAGGAAAATGGCTTTTCAAAAAAAAATTGCCCAAATAATTACAAAAATGCCATCCCAAAATTTATTGGCCCAATTCGGTGCTTAATTGACTTAATCTTCAGCGCAAAATAGGATCAATAGACTTTATTATCAGGGGAGAATATCCTCCAGCCAAATCCGTGATCAGTAGCCTCCAAAATAGAAAGAAAATGGCTTTTCGGAAATATCATCCGAAATCTGTGATGGTACCCCTTTGGAGTCTGCCAAAAATGGACCTGGAAGAAATCGGCCCAAATTGGCCCTGGATGGACTTAATCGTCGTTCAAGAATAGCCTCAGGCCGAATCCGCAATCTTTATCCTTCAAAATCCCAGGAAAATGGCCTTCCAAAAAAAAATGGCTCAAATAATTACGAAAATGCCATCCCAAAATATATTGGCCCAATTCAGTGCTTAATTGACTTAATCATCGGCGCAGAATAGGATCATTAGACTTTGTTATAGGTGGAGAATGGCCTCGAGCCGCATCCGTGATCCATAGCCTCAAAAATCGAAAGAAAATGGCATTTCGAAAAAATGGCCCGAAATCTGTGATGGTACCCCTTTGGAGTCTGCCAAAAATGGACCCAGAAGAAATCCGCCCAAATTGGCCCTGGATGGACTTAACCGTCGTTGAAGAATAGCCTCAGGCCAAATCCACCATCTTTATCCTTCAAAATCCAAGGAAAATGGCCTTTCAAAAAAAATTGCACAAATATTTTCGAAAATGCCATCCCAAAATATATTGGCCCAATTCGGTGCTTAATTGACTTTATCATCGGCGTAGAATATGATCAATAGACTTTATTATCGGTGGAGAATAGCCTCGAACCGAATCAGTGATCTGTAGCCTCCAAAATAGAAAGAAAATGGCATTTCGGAAAAATCTTCCGAAATCGGTAATGGTACCCCTTTGGAGTCTGCCAAAAATGGACCGGAAGAAATCCGTCAAAATTGGCCCTGGATGGACTTAATCGTCGTTGAAGAATAGCCTCAGGCCGAATCCACCATCTTTATCCTTCAAAATCCAAGGAAAATGGCCTTTCAAAAAAAAGTTGCTCAAATAATTACGAAAATGCCATCCCAAAATATATTGGCCCAATTCGGTGCTTAATTGACTTAATCATCGGCGCAGAATAGGATCAATAGACTTTATTATTGGTGGAGAATAGCCTCGAGCCGAATCCGTGATCTGTAGCCTCCAAAATCGAAAGAAAATGGAATTTCGGAAATATCGCCCGAAATCTGTGATGGTACCCCTTTGGAGTCTGCCAAAAATGGACCCGGAAGAAATCCGCCCAAATTGGCCCTGGATGGACTTAATCGTCGTTGAAGAATAGCCTCAGGCCGAATCCACCATCTTTATCCTTCAAAATCAAAGGAAAATGGCATTTCAAAAAAAAATTGCTCAAATAATTACGAAAATGCGATCCCAAAATATATTGGCCCAATTCGGTGCTTAATTGACTTAATCATCGGCGCAGAATAGGATCAATAGACTTGATTATCGGTGGACAATAGCCTCGAGCCGAATCCGTGATCTGTAGCCTCCAAAATAGAAAGAAAATGGCATTTCGGAAAAATCGCATGAAATCTATGATGGTACCCCTTTGGAGTCTGCCAAAAATGGACCCGGAAGAAATCCGCCCAAATTGGCCCTGGATGGACTTAATCGTCGTCGAAGAATAGCCTCAGGCCGAATCCACCATCTTTATCCTTCAAAATTCAAGGAAAATGGCCTTTCAAAAAAAATTGCTCAAATAATTACGAAAATACCATCCCAAAATATATTGACCTAATTCGGTGCTTAATTGACTTAATCATCAGCGCAGAATAGGATCAATAGACTTTACTATTGGTGGAGAATAGCCTCGAGCCGAATCCGTGATCTGTAGCCTCCAAAATCGAAAGAAAATGGCATTTCGGAAAAATCGCCCGAAATCTGTGATGTTACCCCTTTGGAGTCTGCCGAAAATGGACCCGGAAGAAATCCGCCCAAATTGGCCCTGGATGGACTTAATCATCGTTGAAGAATAGCCTCAGGCCGAATCGGCCATCTTTATCCTTCAAAATCCAAGGAAAATGGCCTTTCAAAAAAAAAATTTGCTCAAATAATTACGAATATGCCATCCCAAAATATATTGACCCAATTCGGTGCTTAATTGACTTAATCATCGGCGCAGAATAGGATCAATAGACTTTACTATTGGTGGAGAATAGCCTCAAGCCGAATCCGTGATCTGTAGCCTCCAAAATCGAAAGAAAATGGAATTTCGGAAATATCGCCCGAAATCTGTGATGGTACCCCTTTGGAGTGTGCCAAAAATGGACCTGGAAGAAATCCGCCCAAATTGGCCCTGGATGGACTTAATCGTCGTTGAAGAATAGCCTCAGGCCGAATCCACGATCTTTATCCTTCAAAATCAAAGGAAAATGGCATTTCAAAAAAAAAATTGCTCAAATAATTACGAAAATGCGATCCCAAAATATATTGGCCCAATTCGGTGCTTAATTGACTTAATCATTGGCGCAGAATAGGATCAATAGACTTGATTATCGGTGGAGAATAGCCTCGAGCCGAATCCGTGATCTGTAGCCTCCAAAATAGAAAGAAAATGGCATTTCGGAAAAATCGCCTGAAATTTGTGATGGTACCCCTTTGGAGTCTGCCAAAAATGGACCCGGAAGAAATCCGCCCAAATTGGCCCTGGATGGACTTAATCGTCATTGAAGAATAGCCTCAGGCCGAATCCACCATCTTTATCCTTCAAAATCCAAGGAAAATGGCCTTTCAAAAAAAAAATTGCTCAAATAATTACGAAAATGCCATCTCAAAATATATTGGCCCAATTCGGTGCTTAATTGACTTAATCATTGGCGCAAAATACGATCAATAGACTTTATTATCGGTGGAGAATAGCCTCGAGCCAAATCCGTGATCTGTAGCCTCCAAAATCGAAAGAAAATGGCATTTCGGAAAAATCGCCTGAAATCTGTGATGGTACCCCTTTGGAGTCTGCCAAAAATGGATCTGGAAGAAATCTGCCCAAATTGGCCCTGGATGGACTTAATTGTCGTTGAAGAATAGGCTGTGGCCGAATCCACCACCTTTATCCTTCAAAATCCAAGGAAAATGGCCTTTCAAAAAAAATTGCTCAAATAATTACGAAATTGCCATCCCAAAATATGTTGGCCCAATTCGGTACTTAATTGACTTAATCGTCGGAGTAGAATATGATCAATAGACTTTATTATCGGTGGAGAATAGTCTCGAGCCAAATCCATGATCTGTAGCCTCCAAAATCGAAAGAAAATTGCATTTCCGAAAAATCGCACGAAATCTGTTATGGGTACCCCTTTGGAGTCTGCCAAAAATGGACCCGGAAGAAATCCGCCCAAATTGGCCCTGGATGGACTTAATCGTCGTTGAAGAATAGCCTCAGGCCAAATCCACCATCTCTATCCTTCAAAATCACAGGAAAATGGCATTTCAATAAAAAAAATTTGCTCAAATAATTACGAAAATGCAATCCCAAAATATATTGGCCCTATCCGGTGCTTAATTGACTTAATCATCGGCGCAGAATAGGATCAATAGACTTTATTATCGGTGGAGAATAGCCTCGAGCCAAATCCGTGATCTGTAGCCTCCAAAATCGAAAGAAAATGGCATTTCGGAAATATCGCCCGAAATCTGTGATGGTACCCCTTTGGAGTCTGACAAAAATGGACCCGAAAGAAATCCGCCCAAATTGGCCCTGGATAGACTTAATCGTCGTTGAAGAATAGGCTCAGGCCGAATCCACCATCTTTATCCTTCAAAATTCAAGGAAAATGGCCTTTCAAAAAAAATTGCTCAAATAATTACGAAAATACCATCCCAAAATATATTGACCTAATTCGGTGCTTAATTGACTTAATCATCAGCGCAGAATAGGATCAATAGACTTTACTATTGGTGGAGAATAGCCTCGAGCCGAATCCGTGATCTGTAGCCTCCAAAATCGAAAGAAAATGGCATTTCGGAAAAATCGCCCGAAATCTGTGATGTTACCCCTTTGGAGTCTGCCGAAAATGGACCCGGAAGAAATCCGCCCAAATTGGCCCTGGATGGACTTAATCATCGTTGAAGAATAGCCTCAGGCCGAATCGGCCATCTTTATCCTTCAAAATCCAAGGAAAATGGCCTTTCAAAAAAAAAATTTGCTCAAATAATTACGAATATGCCATCCCAAAATATATTGACCCAATTCGGTGCTTAATTGACTTAATCATCGGCGCAGAATAGGATCAATAGACTTTACTATTGGTGGAGAATAGCCTCAAGCCGAATCCGTGATCTGTAGCCTCCAAAATCGAAAGAAAATGGCATTTCGGAAATATCGCCCGAAATCTGTGATGGTACCCCTTTGGAGTCTGACAAAAATGGACCCGGAAGAAATCCGCCCAAATTGGCCCTGGATGGACTTAATCGTCGTTGAAGAATAGGCTCAGGCCGAATCCACCATCTTTATCCTTAAAAATCCAAGAAAAATGGCCTTTCAAAAAAAAAAATTGCTCAAATAATTACGAAAATGCGATCCCAAAATATATTGGCCCAATTCCGTGCTTAATTGACTTAATCATCGGCGCAGAATAGGATCAATAGACTTTATTATCGGTGGAGAATAGCCTCGAGCCGAATCCGTGATCTGTAGCCTCCAAAATCAAAAGAAAATTACATTTCGGAAAAATCGTACGAAACCTGTGATGGTACCCCTTTGGAGTCTGCCCAAAATAGACACGGAACAAATCCGCCCAAATTGGCCCTGGATGCACTTAATCGTCGTTGAAGAATAGCCTCAGGCCGAATCCACCATCTTTATCCTTTAAAATCCAAGAAAAATGGTCTTTAAAAAAAAAGCTCAAATATTTACGAAAATGCAATCCCAAAATATATTGGCACAATCCAGTGCTTAATTGACTTAATCATCGGCGCAGAATAGGATCAATAGACTTTATTATCGGTGGAGAATAGCCTCGAGCCAAATCCGTGATCTGTAGCCTCCAAAATCGAAAGAAAATTGCATTTCGGAAAAATCGCCAGAAATCTGTGATGGTACCCCTTTGGATTCTGCCAAAAATGGACCCGAACAAATCCGCCCAAATTGGCTCTTGATGGACTTAATCGTCTTTAAATAATAGCCTCAGGCCGAATCCACCATCTTTATCCTTCAAAATCCAAAGAAAATGGCCTTTCAAAAAAAATTGCTCAAATATTTACGAAAAAGCCATCCCAAAATATATTGGCTCAATCCGGTGCTTAATTGACTATATCATCGGCGCAGAATTGGATCAATAGACTTTATTATCGGTGGAGAATAGCCTCGAGCCAAATCCGTGATATGTAACCTCCAAAATCGAAAGAAAATGGCATTTCGGAAAAATCGCCCGAAATCTGTGATGGTACCCTTTTGGAGTCTGACAAAAATGGACTCGGAAGAAATCCGCCGAAATTGGCCCTGGAGGGACTTAATCGTTGTTGAAGAATAGCCTCAGACCGAATCCACCATCTTTATCCTTCAAAATCCAAGGAAAATGGCCTTTCAAAAAAAAAATTTACTCCAATAATTACGAAAATACCATCCCAAAATATATTGGCCCAATTCGGTGCTTAATTAACTTAATCATCGGCGCAGAATAGGATCAATAGACTTTATTATCGGTGCAGAATAGCCTCGAGACGAATCCGTGATCTGTAGCCTCCAAAATCGAAAGAAAAAGGCATTTCGGAAAAATCGCCCGAAATTTGTGATGGTACCCCTTTGGAGTCTGCCAAAAATGGACCCGGAAGAAATCCGCCCAAATCGTCCCTTGATGGACTTAATCGTCGTTGAAGAATAGGCTCAGGCCGAATCCACCATTTTTATCCTTCAAAATCCAAGGAAAATGGCCTTTCAAAAATTAAAATTGCTCAAATAATTACAAAAATGCCATCCCGAAATATATTGGCCCAATTCGGTGCTTAATTGACTTAATCATCGGCGCAGAATAGGATCAATAGACTTTATTATTGGTGGAGAATAGCCTTGAGTCAAATCTGTGATCTGTAGCCTCCAAAATCGAAAGAAAATTGCATTTCGGAAAAATCGCCCGAAATCTGTGATGTTACCCCTTTGGAGTCTGCCAAAAATGGACCCGGAACAAATCCACCCAAATTGGCCCTGGATGGATTTAATCGTCGTTGAAGAATAGCCTCAGGCCGAATCCACCATCTTTATCCATCAAAATTCAACGAAAATGGCCTTTCAATAAAAATTGCTCAAATATTTACGAAAATGACATCCCAAAATTTATTGGCCCAATCCGGTGCTTAATTGACTTTATCATCGGCGCATAATAGGATCGATAGACTTTATTATCGGTGGAAAATAGCCTCGAGCAGAATCAGTGATCTGTAGCCTCCAAAATCGAAAGAAAATGGCATTTCGCAAAAATCGCCTGAAATCTGTGATGGTACCCCTTTGGAGTTTGCCAAAAATGGAACCGGAAGAAATCCGCACATTTTGGCCCTAGATGGACTTAATCGTCGTTGAAGAATAGCCTCAGGTTGAATCCACCATCTTTATCCTTCAAAATCAAAGAAAAATGACCTTTCAAAAAAAAATGCTCAAATAATTACGAAAATGCCATCCCAAAATATATTGGCCCAATTCGGTGCTTAGTTGACTTAATCATCGGCGCAGAATAGGATCAATAGATTTTATTATCGGTGGAGAATAGCCTCGAGCCGAATCCGTGATCTGTAGCCTCCAAAATCGAAAGAAAATTGCATTTCGGAAAAATCGCCCGAAATATGTGATGGTACCCCTTTGGAGTTTGCCAAAAATGGACCCGCAACAAATCCGCCCAAATTGGCCTGGATAGACTTAATCGTCGTTGAAGAATAACCTCAAGCCGAATCCACCATCTTTATCCTTCAAAATCCAAGGAAAATGGCCTTTCAATTGCTCAAATATTTACGAAAATGCCATCCCAAAATATATTGGCCCAATCCGGTGCTTAATTGACTTTATCATCGGCGCAGAATAGGATCAATAGACTTTATTGTCAGTGGAGAATAGCCTCGAGGTGAATTCGTGATATGTAGCCTCCAAAATCGAAAGAAAATGGCATTTCGGAAAAATCGCCCGAAATTTGTGATGGTACCCCTTTGGAGTCTGCCAAAAATGGACCCGGAAGAAATCCGCCCAAATTGTCCCTGGATGGACTTAATCGTCGTTGAAGAATAGCCTCAGACCGAATCCACCATCTTTATTTTTCAAAATCCAAGGAAAATGGCCTTTCAAAAAAAATTGCTCAAATAATTACGAAAATGCCATCCAAAAATATATTGGCCATATTCGATGCTTAATTAACTTAATCATCGGCGCAGAATAGGATCAATAGACTTTGTTATCGGTGGAGAAGAGTCTCGAGCCGAATCAGTGATCTGTAGCCACCAAAATAGAAAGAAAATGGCATTTCGGAAAAATCGTCCGAAATCGGTGATGGTACCCCTTTGGAGTCTGCCAAAAATGGACCCGAAAGAAATCCGCCAAAATTGGCCCTGGATGGACTTAATCGTCGTTGAAGAATAGCCTAGGGCCGAATCCACCATCTTTATCCTTCAAAATCCAAGGAAAACGGCATTTCAAAAAAAAATTTTGCTCAAATAATTACGAAAATGCCATCTGATAACGATGTAATTGCACATATTTGTACCCTTAGTTCTTATCCGTTTGAGGGGCATAGTCGTGTATTTTTTGCCTATTTTACGCCGGGTTGTGCTACTTTGTCATATGTCAGGTCCCAGACGTCGAAGGAAAGGCTAAGCACGAGTTTCGAGGCATTCGGAAGTCATTCGGTCGAGCCGGAGCCAAAACACGGGCACGCCTAAAACAAAACACGGCCGTATTCCTGGACCGTGTTTTTACTGCCGAGGCTTGATCCAAGACTGACAAACACTAGCTCAAAACACGGGCGGGACTGATCCAGAACACGGCCGTGTCCATCATCAAACACGGCCGTGTTTTCCCCAAAGGCTGGCCGTGTATTTACCACGTGGCAAGGGCACGGGCGGGCTGGAGCAGAACACGGTCGTGCCCTCGACCGTGTTTTGCCCAGTGATGCCCTTTTAGGCAGATTTCGGCCAAAAGAGGAGGGGATTCGAGTTTTAGAGAGACAGAGCGATTCCTAGAGAGAGAAATCGATGAACAAGAGTTCCCAAGTGCCCTAGCTTGATCTTCATCACCATTGGAGCTTGGCTTGAGCTTGGAGGAGTGCCGATCAACGTCCAGGAGCAGAAATCTATCCTTCACAGTATGATTTCCGCGTCTGAATCTGCTTTTGCTTCTTTCTCCATGGAGTAGTTCTCCCATTCATCTGGGTACGGGAAACCCTAGATTTGTATGTTAGGTTTGATTGTATGAACCCAAGTACTGATTCTATGATTTGATTATATTCAATTGAGGTTTGAATGATTGAATGGCCTGAATCCTGATCAAATTCCTCTTGTTCCTGCTTTAACCTAGAATGAGAATATCTGCCTAGGTTGATAGAGCATCCTTGATTGAAGGTAGGGAATTGGTGACTTTAGTCGAGGAGCCAACTCACTATTTTGAACCGAATTTACTTCGGTAGTGGAGGTTTTGTTCGTTAGGGCCTCAATCTGTTTACTCCGGTGGAGGTTAGTCGCCCGCTAGAGACTCAGATTGAGAGGGTCTGGACACCTTTAGTCGAGACTTCAGACTGCTTAAGAACCTTCCGCAGTATAACTATCATAGAAATTGAACTTGGTAATTGCAATCCGGCTTAACTGCGGTCTAGGGGAAACCATATCCGGGTGACCTCTCGTAACCTGAAAACAACCGTTTAGTTGCTTTGCTTGTTTGTTAATTTAGACCTCCAATACAGTTTCATTGCTAGATAACAAGTATTCACCGAGTAGTCATCAAATCTAGGACCCGGGTTGACATTAAAACCAAAACCCGCTATACTACACTTTAGGAAGTGGTTACACTTAGCCAATTCCTAGAGTGACAGTAGGAGTGAGTCACCATCCCAAAATATATTGGCCCAATTCGGTGCTTAATTGACTTAATCATCGGCGCAGAATAGGATCAATAGACTTTATTATCGGTGGAGAATAGCCTCGAGCCGAATCCGTGATCTGTAGCCTCCAAAATTGAAAGAAAATGGCATTTCAGAAAAATCGCCCGAAATCTGTGATGGTACCCCCTTTGGAGTCTGCAAAAAATGGACACGAAAGAAATCCGCCCAAATTGGCCCTGGATGGACTTAATCGTCGTTGAAGAATAGCCTCTGCCGAATCCACCATCTTTATCCTTCAAAATCCAAGCAAAATGGCGTTTCAAAAATAAATTCCTCAAATAATTACGAAAATGCCATCCCAAAATATATTGGCCATATTTGGTGCTTAATTAACTTAATCATCGGCGCAGAATAGGATCAATAGACTTTATTATCGGTGGAGAATTGCCTCAAGCCGAATCTGTGATCTGTAGCCACCAAAATCGAAACAAAATGGCATTTCGGAAAAATGACCCGAAATCTGTGATGGTACCCCTTTGGAGTCTGCCAAAAATGGACCCGGAAGAAATCCGCCCAAATTGGCCCTGGATGTACTTAATCGTCATTGAAGAATAGCCTCAGGCCGAATCCACCATCTTTATCCTTCTAAATCAAAGGAAAATGGCCTTTCAAAAAAAATTGCTCAAATAATTACGAAAATGCCTTCCAAAATATATTGGCCCAATTCGGTGCTAAATTGACTTAATCACCGGCGCAGAATAGGATAAATAGACTTTATTATCGGTGGAGAATAGCCTCGAGCCAAATCCGTGATCTATAGCCACCAAAATCGAAAGAAAATAGCATTTCGGAAAATCGCCCGAAATCAGTGATGGTACCCCTTTGGAGACTGCCAAAAATGGACCCGGAAAAAATCCGCCCAAATTGGCCCTGGATGGACTTAATCGTCGTTGAGGAATAGGCGCTGGCCGAATCCACCATCTTTATCCTTCAAAATCCAAGCAAAATGGCGTTTCAAAAAAAAATTCCTCAAATAATTACGAAATTGTCATCCCAAAATATATTGGCCATATTCGGTGCTTAATTAACTTAATCATCGGCGCAGAATAGGATCAATAGACTTTATTATTGGTGGAGAATAGCCTCGAGCCGAATCTATGATCTGTAGCCTCCAAAATCGAAAGAAAATGACATTTCGGAAAAATCATCCGGAATCTGTGATGTTAGCACTTTGGAGTCTGCCAAAAATGGACCCGGAAGAAATCCGCCCAAATTGGCCCTAGATGTACTTAATCGTCGTTGAAGAATAGCCTCACGCCGAATCCACCAACTTTATCCTTCAAAATCAAAGGAATATGGTCTTTCAAAAAAATATTTGCTCAAATAATTACGAAAATGCCATCCAAAAATATATTGGCCCAATTCGGTCCTTAATTGACTTAATCACCGGCGCAGAATAGGATCAATAGACTTTATTATCGGTGGAGAATAGCCTCGAGCCGAATCCGTGATCTGTAGCCTCCAAAATCGATAGAAAATGGCATTTCGGAAAAATCGCCCGAAATCTGTGATGGTACCCCTTTAGAGTCTGCCAAAAATGGAACCGGAAGAAATCTGCCCTGGATGGACTTAATCCTCGTTGAAGAATAGCCTCAGGCCAAATCCACAATCATTATCCTTCAAAATCCAAGGAAAATGGCCTTTCAAAATAATTACGAAAATGCCATCCAAAAATATATTGGCCCAATTCGGTCCTTAAATGACTTAATCATCGGCGCAGAATAGGATCAATAGACTTTATTATCGGTGGAGAATAGCCTCGAGCCAAATCCGTGATCTGTAGCCTCCAAAATCGAAAGAAAATAGCATTTCGGAAAAATCGCCCGAAATCAGTGATGGTACCCCTTTGGAGTCTGCCAAAAATGGACCCGGAAGAAATCTGCCCAAATTGGCCCTGGATGGACTTAATTGTCGTTGAAGAATAGCCTTTGGCCGAATCCACCATCTTTATCCTTCAAAATCCAAGGAAAATGGCCTTTCAAAAAAAATTCCACAAATAATTACGAAAATGCCATCCCAAAATATATTGGCCATATTCGGTGCTTAATTAACTTAATCATCGGCGCAGAATAGGATCAATAGACTTTTTTATCGGTGGAGAATAGACTCGAGCCGAATCAGTGATTTGTAGCCTCCAAAATCGAAAGAAAATGGCATTTCGGAAAAATCGTCCAAAATGGGTTATGTTACCCCTTTGGATTCTGCTAAAAATGGACCTAGAAGAAATCCGCCCAAATTGGCCCTGGATGGACTTAATCGTCGTTGAAAAATAGCCTCAGGCCGAATCCACCATCTTTATCCTTCAAAATCCAAGGAAAATGGCCTTTAAAAAAAATTAATCAATTAATTACGAAAATGCCATCCCAAAATATATTAGCCATATTCGGTGCTTAATTGACTTAATCATCGGCGCAAAATAGGGTCAATATACTTTATAATCGGTGGAGAATATCCTCGAGCCGAACCAATGATCTGTAGCCTCGAAAATAGAAAGAAAATGGCATTTCGGAAAAATCGTCCGAAATCTGTGAGGGTACCCCTTTGGAGTCTGCCAAAAATGGACCCGGAAGAAATCCGCCCAAATTGTCTTTGGATGTACTTAATCGTCGTTGAAGAATAGCCTCTGGCCGAATCCACCATATTTATCCTTCAAAATCCAAGGAAAATGGCCTTTCAAAATACAATTGCTCAAATAATTACGAAAATGCCATCCCAAAATATATTGGCCCAATTCGGTGCTTAATTAACTTTATCATCGGCGCAGAATAGGATCAATAGACATTATTATCGGTGGAGAATAGCCTCGAGCCGAATCCGTGATCTGTAGCCTCCAAAATCGGAAGAAAATTGCATTTCGGAAAAATTGCCCGTAATTTGTGATGGTACCCCTTTAGAGTCTGCAAAAATGGACCCGGAAGAAATCCGCCGAAATTGGCCCTGGATGGACTTAATCGTCGTTGCAGAATAGCATCAGGCCGAATCCACCATCTTTATCCTTCAAAATCCAAGGAAAATGGACTTTCAAAAAAAAAAATGCTCAAATAATTACTAAAGTGCCATCCCAAAATATATCGGCCCAATTCGCTGCTTAATTGACTTAATCATCGGCGCAGGATTGGATCAATAGACTTTATTATCGGTGGAGAATAGCCTAGAGCCGAATCCGTGATCTGTAGCCTCCAAAATCGAAAGAAGATGGCCTTTCGTAAAAATCGCCCGAAATCTGTGATGTTACCCCTTTGGAGTCTGCAACAAATGGACCCGGAAGAAATCCACCCAAATTGTCTTTGGATGTACTTAATCGTCGTTGAAGAATAGCCTCTGGCCGAATCCACCATATTTATCCTTCAAAATCCAAGGAAAATGGCCTTCCAAAAAAAAATTGCTCAAATAATTATGAAAATGCAATCCCAAAATATATTGGCCCAATTCGGTGTTTAATTGACTTAATCATCGGCGCAGAATAGGATCAATACACTTTATTATCGGTGGAAAATAGCCTCGAGCCAAATACGTGATCTGTAGCCTCCAAAATCGAAAGAAAATGGCATTTCGGAAAAATCGCCCGAAATCTGTGATGGTACCCCTTTGGAGTCTGCCAAAAATGGACCCGGAAGAAATCCGCCCAAATTGGCCGTGGATGGACTTAATAGTCGTTGAAGAATAGCCTCGGACCGAATCCACCATCTTTATCCTTCAAAATCGAAGGAAAATAAGCTTAAAAAAATAATTAATCAAATAATTACGAAAATGCCATCCCAAAATATATTAGCCATATTCGGTGCTTAATTGACTTAATCATCGGCGCAAAATAGGGTCAATATACTTTATAATCGGTGGAGAATATCCTCGAGCCGAATCCGTGATCTGTAGCCTCGAAAATAGAATGAAAATGGCATTTCGGAAAAATCTTCCGAAATCTGTGATGGTACCCCTATGGAGTCTGCCAAAAATGGACCCAGAAGAAATCCGCCCAAATTGTCTTTGGATGTACTTAATCGTCGATGAAGAATAGCCTCTGGCCGAATCCACCATCTTTATCCTTCAAAATCCAAGGAAAATGGCCTTTCATAAAACAATTGCTCAAATAATTACGAAAATGCCATCCCACCGTGATCTGTAGCCTCCAAAATCGAAAGAAAATTGCATTTCGGAAAAATCGCCCGAAATATGTGATGGTACCCCTTTGGAGTCTGCCAAAAATGGACCCGGAACAAATCCGCCCAAATTGGCCCTGGATGGACTTAATCGTCGTTGAAGAATAGCCTCAGGCCGAATCCACCATCTTTATCCTTCAAAATCCAAGGAAAATGGCATTTCAAAAAAAATTGCTCAAATATTTACGAAAATACCATCCCAAAATATATTGGCCATATTCGGTGCTTAATTAACTTAATCATCGGCGCAGAATAGGATCAATAGACTTTATTATCGGTGGAGAATAGCCTCGAGCCAAATCCGTGATCTGTAGCCTCCAAAATCGAAAGAAAATGGCATTTTGGAAAAATCACTCGAAATCTGTGATTGTACCCCCTTGGAGTCTGCCAAAAATGGACCCGGAAGAAATCCGCCAAAATTGGCCCTGGATGGACTTAATCGTCGTTGAAGAATAGCCTCTTGCCGAATCCACCATCTTTATCCTTCAAAATCCAAGGAAAATGGCCTTTCAAAAAAAATTCCACAAATAATTACGAAAATGCCATCCCAAAATATATTGGCCATATTCGGTGCTTAATTAACTTAATCATCGGCGCAGAATAGGATCAATAGACTTTTTATCGGTGGAGAATAGCCTCGAGCCGAATCAGTGATTTGTAGCCTCCAAAATCGAAAGAAAATGGCATTTCGGAAAAATCGTCCAAAATCAGTGATGGTACCCCTTTGGAGTCTGCTAAAAATGGACCCAGAAGAAATCCGCCCAAATTGGCCCTGGATGGACTTAATCGTCGTTGAAGAATAGCCTCAGGCCGAATCCACCATCTTTATCCTTCAAAATCCAAGTAAAATGGCCTTTCAAAAAAAAAATTGCTCAAATAATTCCGAAAATGCCATTCCAAAATATATTGGCCCAATTCGGTGCTTAATTGACTTAATCACCGACGCAGAATAGGATCAATAGACTTTATTATCGGTGGAGAATAGCCTCGAGCCGAATTCGTGATCTGTAGCCTCCAAAATCGAAAGAAAATTGCATTTCGTAAAAATTGCCCGAAATCAGTGATGGTACCCCTTTGGAGTCTGCAGAAATGGACCCGGAAGAAATCCGCCAAAATTGGCCCTGGATGGACTTAATGGTCGTTGCAGAATAGCATCAGGACGAATCCAAAATCTTTATCCTTCAAAATCCAAGGAAAATGGACTTTCAAAAAAAATTGCTCAAATAATTACGAAAGTGCCATCCCAAAATATATTGGCCCAATTCGCTGCTTAATTGACTTAATCATTGGCGCAGAATAGGATCAATAGACTTTATTATCGGTGGAGAATAGCCTCGAGCCGAATCCTTGATCTGTAGCCTCCAAAATCGAAAGAAGATGGCATTTCGTAAAAATCGCCCGAAATCTGTGATTGTACCCCTTTGGAGTCTGCAAAAAATGGACCCGGAAGAAATCCGCCTAAATTGGCCCTAGATAGACTTAATCGTCGTTGACGATTAGCCTCTGGCCGAATCCACCATCTTTATCCTTCAAAATCCAAGGAAAATGGCCTTTCAAAAAACAATTGCTCAAATAATTACGAAAATGCCATCCCAAAATATATTGGCCCAATTCGGTGCTTAATTGACTTTATCATCGGCGCAGAATAGGATCAATAGACTTTATTATCGGTGGAGAATAGCCTCGATCCGAATCCGTGATTTGTAGCCTCCAAAATCGAAAGAAAATTGCATTTCGGAAAAATCGCTCGAAATATGTGATGGTACCCCTTTGGAGTCTGCCAAAAATGGACCCAGAACAAATTCGCACAAATTGGCCCTGGATGGACTGAATCGTCGTTGAAGAATAGCCTCAGGCCGAATCCACCATCTTTATCCTTCAAAATCCAAGGAAAATGGCTTTTCAAAAAAAATTGCTCAAATATTTACGAAAATGCCATCCCAAAATATATTGGCCCAATCCGGTGCTTAATTGACTTTATCATCGGCGCAGAATAGTAGGGGTGACAAACGGTTATCCGGTTATCGGTTTAACCGGTAACCGTACCAATAATCAACGGTTACCGGTAAACCGATAACCGGCGGTGTCGGTTGTCGGCAGCGTTTGGGTGGGTCACGGTATACCGTCTCCATTATCGGTAAATACCGACGGGTATTCGGTAAACCGATACCGTCTGGGACGGTAAAATGCCGACGTTTCTGCAGGATGCCCCAACCCTAATCCACCACTGGGGTGTCGAGTCTTGTCCAATCCAACCGTCTTCCTCGCCAAAATCGACAGAACAGACACTGACGACGACGAGACGACGACTTCAACTTCGATTCTTCGCCATTCCAAAACTGAAAATCAAAGTTCCAGTCCCCACATCGACAGAATAGACACAGACGACGACGAGACGACGACTCCGACTCCGATTCAAACTACCCCTTCCCTCGCCGACTCCGATTCCGCCGGGCGCCTCCCATCTCTGCGACTCTCCGAATCTTCGCGTCTCAGCCTCCGCCTCTCCGACTCGACTCCGCCTCCCTTGTTCGTCGCTCTGCGACTTCGCCTCCGGCCTCCCCTGTCCTTCCCTCCTCTTCCCAGTCGCCGGCGACGCCGTGCCCTCTTTCCCTCAATCATCTCCAGCACCCGCCACTGCCGTGGAGATCCAGCAGGACTGATCGAGCTCCATAGGTAAGGAACTAAGGATCGATTCCCTTGCCTAGTTGCCATGTTCCTCTCATCCTCCTCAAAAGTCAGAACTCTCTCCGCGGATGACTGCATGCGATGCAATCTGTCACTTCTGCCGCTGCGATGCGGATGGCGAGACAGTAGCCGACCAAGAAACGACAGCGGGGAGTCGATTGGCCTCGATCCGGCGGAATCAAATGAGGCATGCAGATGAGGGGGTGGGTCGAAGGAAGATGGTGAGGAAGTGGGGAGATTGGCTTTGGCGGAGGATGGGAGGGAGGAGGAGAGAATGTTGGTTGTTGATGAAGAGGGAAAGAAGAAGGTGAAGAAGCATCTGGTGTTGGTCGGATTGAAGGGAGAAGAGAAAGACGAAGCGATGAGAAGACTGAAGAGGAAGCAAAGATATCTCCGCACTCCCTCTCGGTTTCTCGGTATAACCGGTGGTAACCGGTAACCGGCTATTCGGTTATTCAGTTAACCGGTTAGAAATTGGTACCGGTTCTCGGTTTCCATTTTGATGCTGGCGGTATACCGTTAACCGGATAATCGGTTACCGGTTAACCAGTAACCGAACCGATTACCAGCCCTACAGAATAGGATCAACAGACTTTATTATCGGTGGAGAAATAGCCTCGAGTCGAATCCGTGATCTGTAGCCTCCAAAATCAAAAGAAAATGGCATTTCGGAAAAATCGCCCGAAATCTGTGATGGTACCCCTTTGGAGTCTACCAAATATGGACCCGGAAGAAATCCGCCCAAATTGGCCCTGGATGGACTTAATCGTCGTTGAAGAATAGCCTCAGACCGAATACACCATCTATATACTTCAAAATCCAAGGAAAATGGCCTTTCAAACAAAATTGCTCAAATAATTACGAAAATGCCATCCAAAAATATATTGGCGATATTCGGTGCTTAATTAACTTAATCATCGGCGCAGAATGAGATCAATAGACTTTATTATCAGTGGAGAATAGCCTCGAGCCAAATCCGTGATCTGTAGCCTCCAAAATCGAAATAAAATGACATTTCGGAAAAATTACCCAGAATCTGTGATGGTACCCCTTTGGAGTCTGCCAAAAATGGACCCGGAAGAAATCAGCCCAAATTGGCCCTGGATATACTTAATCGTCGTTGAAGAATAGCCTCTGGCCGAATCCACCATCTTTATCCTTCAAAATCCAAGCAAAATGGCCTTTCAAAAAAAAAATTCCACAAATAATTACGAAAATGCCATCCCAAAATATATTGGCCATATTCGGTGCTTAATTAACTTAATCATCGGCGCAGAATAGGATCAATAGACTTTATTATCGGTGGAGAATAGCCTCGAGCCAAATCCGTGATCTGTAGCCTCCAAAATCGATAGAAAATGGCATTTTGGAAAAATCACCCGAAATCTGTGATGGTACCCAGTTGGAGTCTGCCAAAAATGGACCCGGAAGAAATCCGCCAAAATTGGCCCTGGATGGACTTAATCGTCGTTGAAGAATAGCCTCTTGCTGAATCCACCATCTTTATCCTTCAAAATCCAAGGAAAATGGCCTTTCAAAAAAAAATTCCACAAATAATTACGAAAATGCCATCCCAAAATATATTGGCCATATTCGGTGCTTAATTAACTTAATCATCGGCGCAGAATAGGATCAATAGACTTTTTTATCGGTGGAGAATAGACTCGAGCCGAATCAGTGATTTGTAGCCTCCAAAATCGAAAGAAAATAGCATTTCGGAAAAATCGTCCAAAATGGGTTATGTTACCCCTTTGGATTCTGCTAAAAATGGACCCAGAAGAAATCCGCTCAAATTGGCCCTGGATGGACTTAATCATCGTTGAAGAATAGCCTCAGGCCGAATCCACCATCTTTATCCTTCAAAATCCAAGTAAAATGGCCTTTCAAAAAAAAATTGCTCAAATAATTCCGAAAATGCCATCCCAAAATATATTGGCCCAATTCGGTGCTTAATTGACTTAATCACCGACGCAGAATAGGATCAATAGACTATATTATCGGTGGAGAATAGCCTCGAGCCGAATTCGTGATCTGTAGCCTCCAAAATCGAAAGAAAATTGCATTTCGTAAAAATTGCCCGAAATCTGTGATGGTACCCATTTGGAGTCTGCAAAAATGGACCCGGAAGAAATCCGCCAAAATTGGCCCTGGATGGACTTAATCGTCGTTGCAGAATAGCATCAGGACGAATCCACCATCTTTATCCTTCAAAATCCAAGGAAAATGGACTTTCAAAAAAAATTGCTCAAATAGTTACGAAAGTGCCATCCCAAAATATATTGGCCCAATTCGCTGCTTAATTGACTTAATCATCGGCGCAGAATAGGATCAATAGACTTTATTATCGGTGGAGAATAGCCTCGAGCCGAATCCGTGATCTGTAGCCTCCAAAATCGAAAGATGATGGCATTTCGTAAAAATCGCCCGAAATCTGTGATTGTACCCCTTTGGAGTCTGCAAATAATGGACCTGGAAGAAATCCACCCAAATTGGCCCTAGATAGACTTAATCGTCGTTGAAGATTAGCCTCTGGCCGAATCCACCATCTTTATCCTTCAAAATCCAAGGAAAATTGCCTTTCAAAAAAAAATTGCTCAAATAATTATGAAAATGCAATCCCAAAATATATTGGCCCAATTCGGTGTTTAATTGACTTAATCATCGGCGCAGAATAGGATCAATACACTTTATTATCGGTGGAAAATAGCCTCGAGCCAAATCCGTGATCTGTAGCCTCCAAAATCGAAAGAAAATGGCATTTCGGAAAAATCGCCCGAAATCTGTGATGTTACCCCTTTGGAGTCTGCAAAAAATGGACCCGGATGAAATCCACCAAAATTGGCCGAGGATGGACTTAATCGTCGTTGAAGAATAGCCTCGCACCGAATCCACCATTTTATCCTTCAAAATCCAAGGAAAATGGCCTTTAAAAAAAATTGCTCAAATAATTACGAAAATATCATCCCAAAATATATTGGCCCAATTCGGTGCTTAATTGACTTAATCACCAGCGCAGAATAGGATCAATAGACTTTATTATCGGTGGAGAATAGCCACGAGCCAAATCCGTGATCTGTAGCCTCCAAAATCGAAAGAAGATGGCATTTCGTAAAAATTGCCCGAAATCTGTGATGGTACCCCTTTGGAGTCTGCAAAAAATGGACCAGGAAGAAATACGCCCAAATTGACCCTAGATGGACTTAATCAGCGTTAAAGATTAGCCTCTGGCCGAATCCACCATCTTTATCCCTCAAAATCCAAGGAAAATGGCTTTTCAAAAAAAAATTGCCCAAATAATTACAAAAATGCCATCCCAAAATTTATTGGCCCAATTCGGTGCTTAATTGACTTAATCTTCGGCGCAAAATAGGATCAATAGACTTTATTATCAGGGGAGAATATCCTCCAGCCAAATCCGTGATCAGTAGCCTCCAAAATAGAAAGAAAATGGCATTTCGGAAATATCATCCGAAATCTGTGATGGTACCCCTTTGGAGTCTGCCAAAAATGGACCCGGAAGAAATCCGCCCAAATTTGCCCTGGATGGACTTAATCGTCGTTCAAGATTAGCCTCAGGCCGAATCCGCGATCTTTATCCTTCAAAATCCAAGGAAAATGGCCTTCCAAAAAAAAATGGCTCAAATAATTACGAAAATGCCATCCCAAAATATATTGGCCCAATTCAGTGCTTAATTGACTTAATCATCGGCGCAGAATAGGATCATTAGACTTTGTTATTGGTGGAGAATAGCCTCGAGCCGCATCCGTGATCCATAGCCTCAAAAATCGAAAGAAAATGGCATTTCGGAAAAATGGCCCGAAATCTGTGATGGTACCCCTTTGGAGTCTGCCAAAAATGGACCCAGAAGAAATCCGCCCAAATTGGCCCTGGATGGACTTAACCGTCGTTGAAGAATAGCCTCAGGCCAAATCCACCATCTTTATCCTTCAAAATCCAAAGAAAATGGCCTTTCAAAAAAAATTGCTCAAATATTTTCGAAAATGCCATCCCAAAATATATTGGCCCAATTCGGTTCTTAATTGACTTTATCATCGGCGTAGAATATGATCAATAGACTTTATTATCGGTGGAGAATAGCCTCGAACCGAATCAGTGATCTGTAGCCTCCAAAATAGAAAGAAAATGGCATTTCGGAAAAATCTTCCGAAATCGGTAATGGTACCCCTTTGGAGTCTGCCAAAAATGGACCGGAAGAAATCCGTCAAAATTGGCCCTGGATGGACTTAATCGTCGTTGAAGAATAGCCTCAGGCCGAATCCACCATCTTTATCCTTCAAAATCCAAGGAAAATGGCCTTTCAAAAATAAGTTGCTCAAATAATTACGAAAATGCCATCCCAAAATATATTGGCCCAATTCGGTGCTTAACTGACTTAATCATCGGCGCAGAATAGGATCAATAGACTTTATTATCGGAGGAGAATAGCCTCGAGCCGAATTCGTGATCTGTATCCTCCAAAATCGAAAGAAAATGACATTTCGGAAAAATTGCTCGAAATCTGTGATGGTACCCCTATGGGGACAGCCAAAAATGAACCCGGAAGAAATCCGCCCAAATTGGCCCTGGATGGACTTAATCGTCGTTGAAGAATAACCTCAGACCGAATCCACTATCTTTATCCTTCAAAATCCAAGGAAAATGGCCTTTCAAAAAAAATTGCTGAAATAATTACGAAAATGCCATCCCAAAATATATTGGCCCAATTCAGTGCTTAATTGACTTAATCATCGGCGCAAAATAGGATCAATAGACTTTATTATTGGTAGAGAATAGCCTCGAGCCAAATCCGTGATCTGTAGCCTCCAAAATCGAAAGAAAATGGCATTTCGGAAAAATCGCCCAAAATCTGTGATGGTACCCCTTTTGAGTCTACCAAAAATGGACCACGAAGAAATCGGCCCAAATTGGCCCTGGATGGACTTAATCGTCGTTGAAGAATAGCCTCAGGCCGAATCCACCATAGTTATCCTTCAAATCCAAGGGAAATGGCCTTTCAAAAAATTTGCTAAAATAATTACAAAATGCAATCCCAAAATATATTGGCCCAATTCGGTGTTTAATTGACTTAGTCATCGGCGCAGAATAGGACCAATAGACTTTATTATCGGTGGAGAATAGCCTCTAGCCAAATCCGTGATCTGTAGCCTCCAAAATCGAAAGAAAATGGCATTTCGGAAAAATCGCCCGAAATCTGTGATGGTACCCCTTTGGAGTCTGCCAAAAATGGACCCGGAAGAAATCCGCCCAAATTGGCCGTGGATGGACTTAATCGTCGTTGAAGAATAGATTCGGACCGAATCCACCATCTTTATCCTTCAAAATCCAAGGAAAATGGCCTGTAAAAAAAATTAATCAAATAATTACGAAAATGCCATCCCAAAATATATTGGCCATATTCGGTGCTTAATTGACTTAATCATCGGCGCAAAACAGGATCATTAGAATTTATTATCGGTGGGGAATAGCCTCGAGTCAAATCTGTGATCTGTAGCCTCCAAAATCGAAAGAAAAGGGCATTTCAGAAAAATCGCCCGAAATCTGTGATGGTACCCCTTTGGAGTCTGCCAAAAATGGACCCAGAAGAAATCCGCCCAAATTGTCTTTGGATGTACTTAATCGTCGTTGAAGAATAGCCTCTGACCGAATCCACCATCTTAATCCTTCAAAATCCAAGGAAAATGGCCTTTCAAAAAACAATTGCTCAAATAATTACGAAAATGCCATCCCAAAATATATTGGCGCAATTCGGTGCTTAATTGACTTTATCATCGCCGCAGAATAGGATCAATAGACTTTATTATCGGTGGAGAATAGCCTCGAGCCTAATCCGTGATCTGTAGCCTCCAAAATCGAAAGAAAATGGCATTTCGGAAAAATCGCCCGAAATCTGTGATGGTACCCTTTTGGAGTCTGACAAAAATGGACTCGGAAGAAATCCGCCGAAATTGGCCCTGGAGGGACTTAATCGTCGTTGAAGAATAGCCTCAGACCGAATCCACCATCTTTATCCTTCAAAATCCAAGAAAAATGGCCTTTCAAAAAAAAAATTTACTCCAATAATTACGAAAATACCATCCCAAAATATATTGGCCCAATTCGGTGCTTAATTGACTTAATCATCGGCGCAGAATAGGATCATTAGACTTTATTATTGGTGCAGAATAGCCTCGAGACAAATCCGTGATCTGTAGCCTCCAAAATCGAAAGAAAATGGCATTTCGGAAAAATCGCCCGAAATATGTGATGGTACCCCTTTGGAGTCTGCCAAAAATGGACCCGGAACAAATCCGCCCAAATTGGCCCTGGATGGACTTAATCGTCGTTGAAGAATAGCCTCAGGCCGAATCCACCATCTTTATCCTTCAAAATCCAAGGAAAATGGCTTTTCAAAAAAAATTGCTCAAATATTTACGAAAATGCCATCCCAAAATATATTGGCCCAATCCGGTCCTTAATTGACTTTATCATCGGCGCAGAATAGGATCAACAGACTTTATTATCGGTGGAGAATAGCCTCGAGCAGAATTCGTGATCTGTATCCACCAAAATCGAAAGAAAATTACATATCGGAAAAATTGCTCGAAATCTGTGATGGTACCCCTTTGGGGACTGCCAAAAATGAACCGGGAAGAAATCCCCCCAAATTGGCCCTGGATGGACTTAATCGTCGTTGAAGAATAACCTCAGACTGAATCCACTATCTTTATCCTTCAAAATCCAAGGAAAATGGCCTTTCAAAAAAAACTGCTCAAATAATTACGAAAATGCCATCCCAAAATATATTGGCCCAATTCAGTGCTTAATTGACTTAATCATCGGCGCAAAATAGGATCAATAGACTTTATTATTGGTGGAGAATAGCCTCGAGCCAAATCCGTGATCTGTAGCCTCCAAAATCGATAGAAAATGGCATTTCCGAAAATCGCCCGAAATCTGTGATGGTACCCCTTTTGAGTCTACCAAAAATGGACCAGGAAGAAATCGGCCCAAATTGGCCCTGGATGGACTTAATCGTCGTTGAAGAATAGCCTCAGGCCGAATCCACCATAGTTATCCTTCAAAATCCAAGGAAAATGGCCTTTCAAAAAAAACTGCTCAAATAATTACGAAAATGCCATCCCAAAATATATTGGCCCAATTCAGTGCTTAATTGACTTAATCATCGGCGCAGAATAGGACCAATAGACTTTATTATCGGTGGAGAATAGCCTCTAGCCAAATCCGTGATCTGTAGCCTCCAGAATAGAAAGAAAATGTCATTTCGGAAAAATCGCCCGAAATCTGTGATGGTACCCCTTTCGAGTCTGCCTAAAATGGACCCGGAAGAAATCTGCCCAAATTGGCCGTGGATGGACTTAATCGTCGTTGAAGAATAGCTTCGGACCGAATCCACCATCTTTATCCTTCAAAATCCAAGGAAAATGGCATGTAAAAAAAATTAATCAAATAATTACGAAAATGTCATCCCAAAATATATTGGCCCAATTCGGTGCTTAATTGACTTAATCATCGGCGCAGAATAGGATCAATAGACTTTATTATTGGTGGAGAATAGCCTCTAGCCAATCCGTGATCTGTAGCATCCAAAATCGAAAGAAAATGTCATTTCGAAAAAATCGCCCAAAATCTGTGATGGTACCCCTTTGGAGTCTGCAAAAAATGGACCCGGAAGAAATCCGCCCAAATTGGCCCTGGATGGACTTAATCATCGTTGAAGAATAGCTTATGGCCAAATCCACTATCTTTATCCTTCAAATCCTAGGAAAATGGCCTTTCAAAAAAAAATTGCTCAAAGAATATGAAAATGTCATCCCAAAATATATTGGCCTAATTCAGTGCTTAATTGACTAAATCGTCAGTGCAAAATAGGATCAATAGACTTTGTTATCGGTGGAGAATAGTCTCGAGCCAAATCCGTGATCAGTAGCCTCCAAAATAGAAAGAAAATGGCATTTCGGAAAAATCTTCTAAAATCTGTCATGGTACACCTTTGGAGTCTGCCAAAAATGGACACGGAAGAAATCCGCCCAAATTGGCCCTGGAAGGACTTAACCGTCGTTGAAGAATAGCCTCAGGCTGAATCCACCATCTTTATCGTTCAAATTCAAGGAAAATGGACTTTAAAAAAAATTGCTCAAATAATTACGAAATTGCCATCCCAAAATATATTGGCCCGATTCGGTGCTTAATTGACTTATTCATTGGCGCAGAATAGGATCAATAGACTTTATTATCGGTGGAGAATAGCCTCAAGCCAAATCCGTGATCTGTAGCCTCCAAAATCGAAAGAAAATGGCATTTCTGAAAAATCGATCGAAATCTGTGATGGTACCCCTTTGGAGTTTGCCAAAAATGGACTTGGAAGAAATCCGCCAAAATTGGCCCTGGATGGACTTAGTCGTCGTTGAAGAATAGCCTCAGGCCGAATCCACCATCTTTATCCTTCAAAATCCAAGGAAAATGACCTTTCAAAAAAATTGCTCAAATAATTACGAAAATATCATCCCAAAATATATTGGCCCAATTCGGTGCTTAATTGACTTAATCACCAGCGCAGAATAGGATCAATAGACTTTATTATCGGTGGAGAATAGCCACGAGCCAAATCCGTGATATGTAGCCTCCAAAATCGAAAGAAGATGGCATTTCGTAAAAATTGCCCGAAATCTGTGATGGTACCCCTTTGGAGTCTGCAAAAAATGGACCCGGAAGAAATACGCCCAAATTGACCCTAGATGGACTTAATCAGCGTTGAAGATTAGCCTCTGGCCGAATCCACCATCTTTATCCCTCAAAATCCAAGGAAAATGGCTTTTCAAAAAAAAATTGCCCAAATAATTACAAAAATGCCATCCCAAAATTTATTGGCCCAATTCGGTGCTTAATTGACTTAATCTTCGGCGCAAAATAGGATCAATAGACTTTATTATCAGGGGAGAATATCCTCCAGCCAAATCCGTGATCAGTAGCCTCCAAAATAGAAAGAAAATGGCATTTCGGAAATATCATCCGAAATCTGAGATGGTACCCCTTTGGAGTCTGCCAAAAATGGACCCGGAAGAAATCCGCCCAAATTGGCCCTGGATGGACTTAATCGTCGTTCAAGAATAGCCTCAGGCCGAATCCGCGATCTTTATCCTTCAAAATCCAAGGAAAATGGCCTTCCAAAAAAAAATGGCTCAAATAATTACGAAAATGCCATCCCAAAATATATTGGCCCAATTCAGTGCTTAATTGACTTAGTCATCGGCGCAGAATAGGATCATTAGACTTTGTTATTGGTGGAGAATAGCCTCGAGCCGCATCAGTGATCCATAGCCTCAAAAATCGAAAGAAAATGGCATTTCGGAAAAATGGCCCGAAATCTGTGATGGTACCCCTTTGGAGTCTGCCAAAAATGGACCCAGAAGAAATCCGCCCAAATTGGCCCTGGATGGACTTAACCGTCGTTGAAGAATAGCCTCAGGCCAAATCCACCATCTTTATCCTTCAAAATCCAAGGAAAATGGCCTTTCAAAAAAAATTGATCAAATATTTTCGAAAATGCCATCCCAAAATATATTGGCCCAATTCGGTGCTTAATTGACTTTATCATCGGCGTAGAATATGATCAATAGACTTTATTATCGGTGGAGAATAGCCTCGAACCGAATCAGTGATCTGTAGCCTCCAAAAAAAAAAAGAAAATGGCATTTCGGAAAAATCTTCCGAAATCGGTAATGGTACCCCTTTGGAGTCTGCCAAAAATGGACCGGAAGAAATCCGTCAAAATTGGCCCTGGATGGACTTAATCGTCGTTGAAGAATAGCCTCAGGCCGAATCCACCATCTTTATCCTTCAAAATCCAAGGAAAATGGCCTTTCAAAAAAAAGTTGCTCAAATAATTACGAAAATGCCATCCCAAAATATATTGGCCCAATTCGGTGCTTAATTGACTTAATCATCGGCGCAGAATAGGATCAATAGACTTTATTATTGGTGGAGAATAGCCTCGAGCCGAATCCGTGATCTGTAGCCTCCAAAATCGAAAGAAAATGGAATTTCGGAAATATCGCCCGAAATCTGTGATGGTACCCCTTTGGAGTCTGCCAAAAATGGACCCGGAAGAAATCCGCCCAAATTGGCCCTAGATGGACTTAATCGTCGTTGAAGAATAGCCTCAGGCCGAATCCACCATCTTTATCCTTCAAAATCAAAGGAAAATGGCATTTCAAAAAAAAATTGCTCAAATAATTACGAAAATGCGATCCCAAAATATATTGGCCCAATTCGGTGCTTAATTGACTTAATCATCGGCGCAGAATAGGATCAATAGACTTGATTATCGGTGGACAATAGCCTCGAGCCGAATCCGTGATCTGTAGCGCCTCCAAAATAGAAAGAAAAGGGCATTTCGGAAAAATCGCATGAAATCTATGATGGTACCCCTTTGGAGTCTGCCAAAAATGGACCCGGAAGAAATCCGCCCAAATTGGCCCTGGATGGACTTAATCGTCGTCGAAGAATAGCCTCAGGCCGAATCCACCATCTTTATCCTTCAAAATTCAAGGAAAATGGCCTTTCAAAAAAAAATTGCTCAAATAATTACGAAAATGCCATCCCAAAATATATTGACCTAATTCGGTGCTTAATTGACTTAATCATCGGCGCAGAATAGGATCAATAGACTTTACTATTGGTGGAGAATAGCCTCGAGCCAAATCCGTGATCTGTAGCCTCCAAAATCGAAAGAAAATGGCATTTCGGAAAAATCTTCCGAAATCGGTAATGGTACCCCTTTGGAGTCTGCCAAAAATGGACCGGAAGAAATCCGTCAAAATTGGCCCTGGATGGACTTAATCGTCGTTGAAGAATAGCCTCAGGCCGAATCCACCATCTTTATCCTTCAAAATCCAAGGAAAATGGCCTTTCAAAAAAAAGTTGCTCAAATAATTACGAAAATGCCATCCCAAAATATATTGGCCCAATTCGGTGCTTAATTGACTTAATCATCGGCGCAGAATAGGATCAATAGACTTTATTATTGGTGGAGAATAGCCTCGAGCCGAATCCGTGATCTGTAGCCTCCAAAATCGAAAGAAAATGGAATTTCGGAAATATCGCCCGAAATCTGTGATGGTACCCCTTTGGAGTCTGCCAAAAATGGACCCGGAAGAAATCCGCCCAAATTGGCCCTAGACGGACTTAATCGTCGTTGAAGAATAGCCTCAGGCCGAATCCACCATCTTTATCCTTCAAAATCAAAGGAAAATGGCATTTCAAAAAAAAATTGCTCAAATAATTACGAAAATGCGATCCCAAAATATATTGGCCCAATTCGGTGCTTAATTTACTTAATCATCGGCGCAGAATAGGATCAATAGACTTGATTATCGGTGGACAATAGCCTCGAGCCGAATCCGTGATCTGTAGCGCCTCCAAAATAGAAAGAAAAGGGCATTTCGGAAAAATCGCATGAAATCTATGATGGTACCCCTTTGGAGTCTGCCAAAAATGGACCCGGAAGAAATCCGCCCAAATTGGCCCTGGATGGACTTAATCGTCGTCGAAGAATAGCCTCAGGCCGAATCCACCATCTTTATCCTTCAAAATTCAAGGAAAATGGCCTTTCAAAAAAAAATTGCTCAAATAATTACGAAAATGCCATCCCAAAATATATTGACCTAATTCGGTGCTTAATTGACTTAATCATCGGCGCAGAATAGGATCAATAGACTTTACTATTGGTGGAGAATAGCCTCGAGCCAAATCCGTGATCTGTAGCCTCCAAAATCGAAAGAAAATGGCATTTCGGAAAAATCGCCCGAAATCTGTGATGTTACCCCTTTGGAGTCTGCCAAAAATGGACCCGGAAGAAATCCGCCCAAATTGGCCCTGGATGGACTTAATCGTCGTTGAAGAATAGCCTCAGGCCGAATCCACCATCTTTATCCTTCAAAATCAAAGGAAAATGGCATTTCAAAAAAAAAATTGCTCAAATAATTACGAAAATGCGATCCCAAAATATATTGGCCCAATTCGGTGCTTAATTGACTTAATCATCGGCGCAGAATAGGATCAATAGACTTGATTATCGGTGGAGAATAGCCTCGAGCCGAATCCGTGGTCTGTAGCCTCCAAAATAGAAAGAAAATGGCATTTCGGAAAAATTGCCTGAAATCTATGATGGTACCCCTTTGGAGTCTGCCAAAAATGGACCCGGAAGAAATCCGCCCAAATTGGCCCTGGATGGACTTAATCGTCGTTGAAGAATAGCCTCAGGCCGAATCCACCATCTTTATCCTTCAAAATCCAAGGAAAATGGCCTTTCAAAAAAAAATTGCTCAAATAATTACGAAAATGCCATCCAAAAATATATTGACCTAATTCGGTGCTTAATTGACTTAATCATCGGCGCGGAATAGGATCAATAGACTTTATTATCGGTGGAGAATAGCCTCGTGTCGAATCCGTGATCTGTAGCCTCCAAAATAGAAAGAAAATGGCATTTCGGAAAAATCGCCTGAAATCTTTGATGGTACCCCTTTGGAGTCTGCCAAAAATGGACCCGGAAGAAATCCGCCCAAATTGGCCCTGGATGGACTTAATCGTCGTTGAAGAATAGCCTCTGGCCGAATCCACCATCATTATCCTTCAAAATCCAAGGAAAATGGCCTTTCAAAAAAAAATTTGCTCAAATAATTACGAAATTGCCATCCCAAAATATATTGGCCCAATTCGGTGCTTAATTTACTTAATCATCGGAGTAGAATAGGATCAATAGACTTTATTATTGGTGGAGAATAGTCTCGAGCCAAATCCATGATCTGTAGCCTCCAAAATCGAAAGAAAATAGCATTTCCGAAAAATCGCCCGAAATCTGAGATGGTAACCCTTTGGAGTCTGCCAAAAATGGACCCGGAAGAAATCCGCCCAAATTGGCCCTGGATGGACTTAATCGTCGTTGAAGAATAGCCTCAGGCCGAATGTACCATCTTTATCATTCAAAATCCAAGGAAAATGGCATTTCAAAAAAAAATTGCTCAAATAATTACGAAAATGACATCCCAAAATATATTGGCCCTATTCGGTGCTTAATTGACTTAATCATCGGCGCAGAATCGGATCAATAGACTTTATTATCGGTGGAGAATAGCCTCGAGCCGAATCTGTGATCTGTAGCCTCCAAAATCGAAAGAAAATGGCATTTCGGAAAAATCGCCTGAAATCTGTGATGGTACCCCTTTGGAGTCTGCCAAAAATGGACCCGGAAGAAATCCGCCCAAATTGGCCCTGGATGGACTTAATCATCGTTGAAGAATAGCCTCAGGCCGAATCCACCATCTTTATCCTTCAAAATCCAAGGAAAATGGCCTTTCAAAAAAAATTGCTCAAATAATTACGAAAATGCCATCTCAAAATATATTGACCCAATTCGGTGCTTAATTGACTTAATCATCGGCGCGGAATAGGATCAATAGACTTTATTATCGGTGGAGAATAGCCTCGTGTCGAATCCGTGATCTGTAGCCTCCAAAATAGAAAGAAAATGGCATTTCGGAAAAATCGCCTGAAATCTTTGATGGTACCCCTTTGGAGTCTGCCAAAAATGGACCCGGAAGAAATCCGCCCAAATTGGCCCTGGATGGACTTAATCGTCGTTGAAGAATAGCCTCTGGCCGAATCCACCATCATTATCCTTCAAAATCCAAGGAAAATGGCCTTTCAAAAAAAAATTTGCTCAAATAATTACGAAATTGCCATCCCAAAATATATTGGCCCAATTCGGTGCTTAATTTACTTAATCATCGGAGTAGAATAGGATCAATAGACTTTATTATTGGTGGAGAATAGTCTCGAGCCAAATCCATGATCTGTAGCCTCCAAAATCGAAAGAAAATAGCATTTCCGAAAAATCGCCCGAAATCTGAGATGGTAACCCTTTGGAGTCTGCCAAAAATGGACCCGGAAGAAATCCGCCCAAATTGGCCCTGGATGGACTTAATCGTCGTTGAAGAATAGCCTCAGGCCGAATGTACCATCTTTATCATTCAAAATCCAAGGAAAATGGCATTTCAAAAAAAAATTGCTCAAATAATTACGAAAATGACATCCCAAAATATATTGGCCCTATTCGGTGCTTAATTGACTTAATCATCGGCGCAGAATCGGATCAATAGACTTTATTATCGGTGGAGAATAGCCTCGAGCCGAATCTGTGATCTGTAGCCTCCAAAATCGAAAGAAAATGGCATTTCGGAAAAATCGCCTGAAATCTGTGATGGTACCCCTTTGGAGTCTGCCAAAAATGGACCCGGAAGAAATCCGCCCAAATTGGCCCTGGATGGACTTAATCATCGTTGAAGAATAGCCTCAGGCCGAATCCACCATCTTTATCCTTCAAAATCCAAGGAAAATGGCCTTTCAAAAAAAATTGCTCAAATAATTACGAAAATGCCATCTCAAAATATATTGGCCCAATTCGGTGCTTAATTGACTTAATCATCGGTGCAAAATACGATCAATAGACTTTATTATCGGTGGAGAATAGCCTCGAGCCAAATCCGTGATCTGTAGCCTCCAAAATCGAAAGAAAATGGCATTTCGGAAAAATCGCCTGAAATCTGTGATGGTACCCCTTTGGAGTCTGCCAAAAATGGATCCGGAAGAAATCTGCCCAAATTGGCCCTGGATGGACTTAATTGTCGTTGAAGAATAGGCTGTGGCCGAATCCACCACCTTTATCCTTCAAAATCCAAGGAAAATGGCCTTTCAAAAAAAATTGCTCAAATAATTACGAAATTGCCATCCCAAAATATATTGGCCCAATTCGGTACTTAATTGACTTAATCGTCGGAGTAGAATATGATCAATAGACTTTATTATCGGTGGAGAATAGTCTCGAGCCAAATCCATGATCTGTAGCCTCCAAAATCGATAGAAAATTGCATTTCCGAAAAATCGCCCGAAATCTGTTATGAGTACCCCTTTGGAGTCTGCCAAAAATGGACCCGGAAGAAATCCGCCCAAATTGGCCCTGGATGGACTTAATCGTCGTTGAAGAATAGCCTCAGGTCGAATCCACCATCATTATCCTTCAAAATCCAAGGAAAATGGCCTTTCAAAAAAAATTGCTCAAATATTTACGAAAACGCCATCCCAAAATATATTGGCCCAATCCGGTGCTTAATTGACTTTATCATCGGCGCAGAATATGATCGATAGACTTTATTATCGGTGGAGAATAGCCTCGAGCCAAATCCGTGATCTGTAGCCTCCAAAATCGAAAGAAAATGGCATTTCGGAAAAATCGCCTGAAATCTGTGATGGTACCCCTTTGGAGTCTGGCAAAAATGGATCCGGAAGAAATCCGCCCAAATTGGCCCTGGATGGACTTAATCGTCGTTGAAGAATAGGCTCAGGCCAAATCCACCATCTTTATCCTTCAAAATCCAAGGAAAATGGCCTTTCAAAAAAAAAAATTACTCCAATAATTACGAAAATATCATCCCAAAATATATTGGCCCAATTCGGTGCTTAATTGACTTAATCATCTGCGCAGAATAGGATCAATAGACTTTATTATTGGTGGAGAATAGCCTCGAGCCGAATCTGTGATCTGTAGCCTCCAAAATAGAAAGAAAATGGCAGTTCAGAAAAATCGTCCGAAATCGGTGATGGTATCCCTTTGAAGTCTGCCAAAAATGGACCCTGAAAAAATCCGCCCAAATTGGCCCTGGATGGACTTAATCTTCGTTGAAGAATAGCCTCAGGCCGAATCCACCATCTTTATCCTTCAAAATCCAAGGAAAATGGACTTACAAAAAAAAATTTGCTCAAATAATTACGAAAATGCCATCCCAAAATATATTGGCCCAATTCGGTGCTTAATTGACTTTATTATCGGCGCAGAATAGGATCAATAGACTTTATTATTGGTGGAGAATCGCCTCGAGCCGAATCCGTGATCTGTAGCCTCCAAAATCGAAAGAAAATGGCATTTCGGAAATATCGCCCGAAATCTGTGATGGTACCCCTTAGGAGTCTGACAAAAATGGACCCGAAAGAAATCCGCCCAAATTGGCCCTGGATAGACTTAATCGTCGTTGAAGAATAGGCTCAGGCCGAATCTACCATCTTTATCCTTAAAAATCCAAGAAAAATGGCCTTTCAAAAAAAAAAATTGCTCAAATAATTACGAAAATGCCATCCCAAAATATATTGGCCCAATTCCGTGCTTAATTGACTTAATCATCGGCGCAGAATAGGATCAATAGACTTTATTATCGGTGGAGAATAGCCTCGAGCCGAATCCGTGATCTGTAGCCTCCAAAATCAAAAGAAAATTACATTTCGGAAAAATCGTACGAAACCTGTGATGGTACCCCTTTGGAGTCTGCCCAAAATAGACACGGAACAAATCCGCCCAAATTGGCCCTGGATGCACTTAATCGTCGTTGAAGAATAGCCTCAGGCCGAATCCACCATCTTTATCCTTCAAAATCCAAGGAAAATGGCCTTTCAAAAAAAATTGCTCAAATATTTACGAAAAAGCCATCCCAAAATATATTGGCTCAATCCGGTGCTTAATTGACTATATCATCGGCGCAGAATTGGATCAATAGACTTTATTATCGGTGGAGAATAGCCTCGAGCCAAATCCGTGATATGTAACCTCCAAAATCGAAAGAAAATGGCATTTCGGAAAAATCGCCCGAAATCTGTGATGGTACCCTTTTGGAGTCTGACAAAAATGGACTCGGAAGAAATCCGCCGAAATTGGCCCTGGAGGGACTTAATCGTCGTTGAAGAATAGCCTCAGACCGAATCCACTATCTTTATCCTTCAAAATCAATGGAAAATGGCCTTTCAAAAAAAAAATTTACTCCAATAATTACGAAAATACCATCCCAAAATATATTGGCCCAATTCGGTGCTTAATTGACTTAATCATCGGCGCAGAATAGGATCAATAGACTTTATTATCGGTGCAGAATAGCCTCGAGACGAATCCGTGATCTGTAGCCTCCAAAATCGAAAGAAAATGGCCTTTCAAAAAAAAAATTTACTCCAATAATTACGAAAATACCATCCCAAAATATATTGGCCCAATTCGGTGCTTAATTGACTTAATCATCGGCGCAGAATAGGATCAATAAACTTTATTATCGGTGCAGAATAGCCTCGAGACGAATCCGTGATCTGTAGCCTCCAAAATCGAAAGAAAATGGCATTTCGGAAAAATCGCCCGAAATTTGTGATGGTACCCCTTTGGAGTCTGCCAAAAATGGACCCGGAAGAAATCCGCCCAAATCGGCCCTTGATGGACTTAATCATCGTTGAAGAATAGGCTCAGGCCGAATCCACCATTTTTATCCTTCAAAATCCAAGGAAAATGGCCTTTCAAAAATTAAAATTGCTCAAATAATTACAAAAATGCCATCCCGAAATATATTGGCCCAATTCGGTGCTTAATTGACTTAATCATCGGCGCAGAATAGGATCAATAGACTTTATTATTGGTGGAGAATAGCCTTGAGTCAAATCTGTGATCTGTAGCCTCCAAAATCAAAAGAAAATTGCATTTCGGAAAAATCGCCCGAAATCTGTGATGTTACCCCTTTGGAGTCTGACAAAAATGGACCCGGAACAAATCCACCCAAATTGGCCCTGGATGGATTTAATCGTCGTTGAAGAATAGCCTCAGGCCGAATCCACCATCTTTATCCATCAAAATTCAACGAAAATGGACTTTCAATAAAAATTGCTCAAATATTTACGAAAATGACATCCCAAAATTTATTGGCCCAATCCGGTGCTTAATTGACTTTATCATCGGCGCATAATAGGATCGATAGACTTTATTATCGGTGGAAAATAGCCTCGAGCAGAATCAGTGATCTGTAGCCTCCAAAATCGAAAGAAAATGGCATTTCGCAAAAATCGCCTGAAATCTGTGATGGTACCCCTTTGGAGTTTGCCAGAAATGGAACCGGAAGAAATCCGCACATTTTGGCCCTGGATGGACTTAATCGTCGTTGAAGAATAGCCTCAGGTTGAATCCACCATCTTTATCCTTCAAAATCCAAGAAAAATGACCTTTCAAAAAAAATGCTCAAATAATTACGAAAATGCCATCCCAAAATATATTGGCCCAATTCGGTGCTTAATTGACTTAATCATCGGCGCAGAATAGGATCAATAGATTTTATTATCGGTGGAGAATAGCCTCGAGCCGAATCCGTGATCTGTAGCCTCCAAAATCGAAAGAAAATTGCATTTCGGAAAAATCGCCCGAAATATGTGATGGTACCCCTTTGGAGTTTGCCAAAAATGGACCCGCAACAAATCCGCCCAAATTGGCCTGGATAGACTTAATCGTCGTTGAAGAATAACCTCAAGCCGAATCCACCATCTTTATCCTTCAAAATCCAAGGAAAATGGCCTTTCAATTGCTCAAATATTTACGAAAATGCCATCCCAAAATATATTGGCCCAATCCGGTGCTTAATTGACTTTATCATCGGCGCAGAATAGGATCAATAGACTTTATTATCAGTGGAGAATAGCCTCGAGGTGAATTCGTGATATGTAGCCTCCAAAATCGAAAGAAAATGGCATTTCGGAAAAATCGCCCTAAATTTGTGATGGTACCCCTTTGGAGTCTGCCAAAAATGGACCCGGAAGAAATCCGCCCAAATTGTCCCTGGATGGACTTAATCGTCGTTGAAGAATAGCCTCAGACCGAATCCACCATCTTTATTTTTCAAAATCCAAGGAAAACGGCCTTTCAAAAAAAATTGCTCAAATAATTACGAAAATGCCATCCAAAAATATATTGGCCATATTCGATGCTTAATTAACTTAATCATCGGCGCAGAATAGGATCAATAGACTTTGTTATCAGTGGAGAAGAGTCTCGAGCCGAATCAGTGATCTGTAACCTCCAAAATAGAAAGAAAATGGCATTTCGGAAAAATCGTCCGAAATCGGTGATGGTACCCCTTTGGAGTCTTCCAAAAATGGACCCGAAAGAAATCCGCCAAAGTTGGCCCTGGATGGACTTAATCGTCGTTGAAGAATAGCCTCAGGCCGAATCCACCATCTTTATCCTTCAAAATCCAAGGAAAACGGCATTTCAAAAAAAAAATTTGCTCAAATAATTACGAAAATGCCATCTGATAACGATGTAATTGCACATATTTGTACCCTTAGTTCTTATCCGTTTGAGGGGCATAGTCGTGTATTTTTTGCCTATTTTACGCCGGGTTGTGCTACTTTGTCATATGTCAGGTCCCAGACGTCGAAGGAAAGGCTAAGCACGAGTTTCGAGGCATTCGGAAGTCATTCGGTCGAGCCGGAGCCAAAACACGGGCACGCCTAAAACAAAACACGGCCGTATTCCTGGACCGTGTTTTTACTGCCGAGGCTTGATCCAAGACTGACAAACACTAGCTCAAAACACGGGCGGGACTGATCCAGAACACGGCCGTGTCCATCATCAAACACGGCCGTGTTTTCCCCAAAGGCTGGCCGTGTATTTACCACGTGGCAAGGGCACGGGCGGGCTGGAGCAGAACACGGTCGTGCCCTCGACCGTGTTTTGCCCAGTGATGCCCTTTTAGGCAGATTTCGGCCAAAAGAGGAGGGGATTCGAGTTTTAGAGAGACAGAGCGATTCCTAGAGAGAGAAATCGATGAACAAGAGTTCCCAAGTGCCCTAGCTTGATCTTCATCACCATTGGAGCTTGGCTTGAGCTTGGAGGAGTGCCGATCAACGTCCAGGAGCAGAAATCTATCCTTCACAGTATGATTTCCGCGTCTGAATCTGCTTTTGCTTCTTTCTCCATGGAGTAGTTCTCCCATTCATCTGGGTACGGGAAACCCTAGATTTGTATGTTAGGTTTGATTGTATGAACCCAAGTACTGATTCTATGATTTGATTATATTCAATTGAGGTTTGAATGATTGAATGGCCTGAATCCTGATCAAATTCCTCTTGTTCCTGCTTTAACCTAGAATGAGAATATCTGCCTAGGTTGATAGAGCATCCTTGATTGAAGGTAGGGAATTGGTGACTTTAGTCGAGGAGCCAACTCACTATTTTGAACCGAATTTACTTCGGTAGTGGAGGTTTTGTTCGTTAGGGCCTCAATCTGTTTACTCCGGTGGAGGTTAGTCGCCCGCTAGAGACTCAGATTGAGAGGGTCTGGACACCTTTAGTCGAGACTTCAGACTGCTTAAGAACCTTCCGCAGTATAACTATCATAGAAATTGAACTTGGTAATTGCAATCCGGCTTAACTGCGGTCTAGGGGAAACCATATCCGGGTGACCTCTCGTAACCTGAAAACAACCGTTTAGTTGCTTTGCTTGTTTGTTAATTTAGACCTCCAATACAGTTTCATTGCTAGATAACAAGTATTCACCGAGTAGTCATCAAATCTAGGACCCGGGTTGACATTAAAACCAAAACCCGCTATACTACACTTTAGGAAGTGGTTACACTTAGCCAATTCCTAGAGTGACAGTAGGAGTGAGTCACCATCCCAAAATATATTGGCCCAATTCGGTGCTTAATTGACTTAATCATCGGCGCAGAATAGGATCAATAGACTTTATTATCGGTGGAGAATAGCCTCGAGCCGAATCCGTGATCTGTAGCCTCCAAAATTGAAAGAAAATGGCATTTCAGAAAAATCGCCCGAAATCTGTGATGGTACCCCCTTTGGAGTCTGCAAAAAATGGACACGAAAGAAATCCGCCCAAATTGGCCCTGGATGGACTTAATCGTCGTTGAAGAATAGCCTCTGCCGAATCCACCATCTTTATCCTTCAAAATCCAAGCAAAATGGCGTTTCAAAAATAAATTCCTCAAATAATTACGAAAATGCCATCCCAAAATATATTGGCCATATTTGGTGCTTAATTAACTTAATCATCGGCGCAGAATAGGATCAATAGACTTTATTATCGGTGGAGAATTGCCTCAAGCCGAATCTGTGATCTGTAGCCACCAAAATCGAAACAAAATGGCATTTCGGAAAAATGACCCGAAATCTGTGATGGTACCCCTTTGGAGTCTGCCAAAAATGGACCCGGAAGAAATCCGCCCAAATTGGCCCTGGATGTACTTAATCGTCATTGAAGAATAGCCTCAGGCCGAATCCACCATCTTTATCCTTCTAAATCAAAGGAAAATGGCCTTTCAAAAAAAATTGCTCAAATAATTACGAAAATGCCTTCCAAAATATATTGGCCCAATTCGGTGCTAAATTGACTTAATCACCGGCGCAGAATAGGATAAATAGACTTTATTATCGGTGGAGAATAGCCTCGAGCCAAATCCGTGATCTATAGCCACCAAAATCGAAAGAAAATAGCATTTCGGAAAATCGCCCGAAATCAGTGATGGTACCCCTTTGGAGACTGCCAAAAATGGACCCGGAAAAAATCCGCCCAAATTGGCCCTGGATGGACTTAATCGTCGTTGAGGAATAGGCGCTGGCCGAATCCACCATCTTTATCCTTCAAAATCCAAGCAAAATGGCGTTTCAAAAAAAAATTCCTCAAATAATTACGAAATTGTCATCCCAAAATATATTGGCCATATTCGGTGCTTAATTAACTTAATCATCGGCGCAGAATAGGATCAATAGACTTTATTATTGGTGGAGAATAGCCTCGAGCCGAATCTATGATCTGTAGCCTCCAAAATCGAAAGAAAATGACATTTCGGAAAAATCATCCGGAATCTGTGATGTTAGCACTTTGGAGTCTGCCAAAAATGGACCCGGAAGAAATCCGCCCAAATTGGCCCTGGATGTACTTAATCGTCGTTGAAGAATAGCCTCACGCCGAATCCACCAACTTTATCCTTCAAAATCAAAGGAATATGGTCTTTCAAAAAAATATTTGCTCAAATAATTACGAAAATGCCATCCAAAAATATATTGGCCCAATTCGGTCCTTAATTGACTTAATCACCGGCGCAGAATAGGATCAATAGACTTTATTATCGGTGGAGAATAGCCTCGAGCCGAATCCGTGATCTGTAGCCTCCAAAATCGATAGAAAATGGCATTTCGGAAAAATCGCCCGAAATCTGTGATGGTACCCCTTTAGAGTCTGCCAAAAATGGAACCGGAAGAAATCTGCCCTGGATGGACTTAATCCTCGTTGAAGAATAGCCTCAGGCCAAATCCACAATCATTATCCTTCAAAATCCAAGGAAAATGGCCTTTCAAAATAATTACGAAAATGCCATCCAAAAATATATTGGCCCAATTCGGTCCTTAAATGACTTAATCATCGGCGCAGAATAGGATCAATAGACTTTATTATCGGTGGAGAATAGCCTCGAGCCAAATCCGTGATCTGTAGCCTCCAAAATCGAAAGAAAATAGCATTTCGGAAAAATCGCCCGAAATCAGTGATGGTACCCCTTTGGAGTCTGCCAAAAATGGACCCGGAAGAAATCTGCCCAAATTGGCCCTGGATGGACTTAATTGTCGTTGAAGAATAGCCTTTGGCCGAGTCCACCATCTTTATCCTTCAAAATCCAAGCAAAGTGGCGTTTCAAAAAAAAATTCCTCAAATAATTACGAAATTGCCATCCCAAAATATATTGGCCATATTCGGTGCTTAATTAACTTAATCGTCGGCGCAGAATAGGATCAATAGACTTTATTATCGGTGGAGAATTGCCTCGAGCCGAATCTGTGATCTGTAGCCACCAAAATCGAAAGAAACTGGCATTTCGGAAAAATCACCCGAAATCTGTGATGGTACCCCTTTGGAGCCTGCCAAAACTGGACCCGGAAGAAATCCCCCCGAATTGGCCCTGGATGTACTTAATCGTCGTTGAAGAATAGCCTCAGGCCGAATCCACCATCTTTATCCTTCGAAATCAAAGGAAAATGGCCTTTCAAAAAAAATTACTCAAATAATTACGAAAATGCCTTCCAAAATATATTGGCCCAATTCAGTGCTAAATTGACTTAATCACCGGCGCAGAATCGGATCAATAGACTTTATTATCGGTGGAGAATAGCCTCGAGCCGAATCAGTGATCTGTAGCCTCCAAAATAGAAAGAATATGGCATTTCGGAAAAATCGTCCGAAATTGGTGATGGTACCCCTTTGGAGTCTGCCAAAAATGGACCCGGAAGAAATCCGCCCAAATTGGCCCTTGATGGACTTAATCGTCGTTGAAGAATAGCCTCAGGTCGAATCCACCGTCTTTATCCTTCAAAATCCAAGGAAAATGGCATTTCAAAAAAAAATGCTCAAATAATTACGAAAATGCCATCCCAAAATATATTGGCCCAATTCGGTGCTTAATTGACTTAATCATCGGCGCAGAATAGGATCAATAGACTTTATTATCGGTGGAGAATAGCCTCGAGCCGAATCCGTGATCTCTAGCCTCCAAAATCGAAAGAAAATGGCATTTCAGAAAAATCGCCCGAAATCTGTGATGGTACCCCTTTGGATTCTGCAAAAAATGGACACGGAAGAAATCCGCCCAAATTGGCCCTGTATGGACTTTATCGTCGTTGAAGAATAGCCTTTGGCCGAATCCACCATCTTTATCCTTCAAAATCCAAGCAAAACGGCGTTTCAAAAAAAAATTTCTCAAATAATTACGAAAATGCCATCACAAAATATATTGGCCATATTCGGTGCTTAATTAACTTAATCATCGGCGCAGAATAGGATCAATAGACTTTATTATCGGTGGAGAATTGCCTCGAGCCGAATCTGTGATCTGTAGCCAACAAAATCGAAAGAAAATGGCATTTCGGATAAATCACCCGAAATCTCTGATGGTACCCCTTTGGAGTCTGCAAAAAATGGACCCGGAAGAAATCCGCCCAAATTGGCCCTGGATGTATTTAATCGTCATTGAAGAATAGCCTCAAGCCGAATCCACCATCTTTATCCTTCTAAATCAAAGGAAAATGGCCTTTCAAAAAAAATTGCTCAAATAATTACGAAAATGCCTTCCAAAATATATTGGCCCAATTCGGTGCTAAATTGACTTAATCACCGGCGCAGAATAGGATCAATAGACTTTATTATCGGTGGAGAATAGCCTCGAGCCAAATCCGTGATCTATAGCCACCAAAATCGAAAGAAAATAGGATTTCGGAAAATCGCCCGAAATCAGTGATGGTACCCCTTTGGAGACTGTCAAAAATGGACCCGGAAAAAATCCGCCCAAATTGGCCCTGGATGGACTTAATCGTCGTTGAAGAATAGGCTCTGGCCGAATCCACCATCTTTATCCTTCAAAATCCAAGCAAAATGGCATTTCAAAAAAAAATTCCTCAAATAATTACGAAATTGTCATCCCAAAATATATTGGCCATATTCGGTGCTTAATTAACTTAATCATCGGCGCAGAATAGGATCAATAGACTTTATTATCGGTGGAGAATAGACTCGAGCCGAATCTATGATCTGTAGCCTCCAAAATCGAAAGAAAATGACATTTCGGAAAAATCATCCGGAATCTGTGATGTTACCACTTTGGAGTCTGCCAAAAATGGACCCGGAAGAAATCCGCCCAAATTGGCCCTGGATGTACTTAATCGTCGTTGAAGAATAGCCTCAGGCCGAATCCACCAACTTTATCCTTCAAAATCAAAGGAATATGGTCTTTCAAAAAAATATTTGCTCAAATAATTACGAAAATGCCATCCAAAAATATATTGGCCCAATTCGGTCCTTAATTGACTTAATCACCGGCGCAGAATAGGATCAATAGACTTTATTATCGGTGGAGAATAGCCTCGAGCCGAATCCGTGATCTGTAGCCTCCAAAATCGAAAGAAAATGGCATTTCGGAAAAATCGCCCGAAATCTGTGATGTTACCCCTTTAGAGTCTGCCAAAAATGGAACCGGAAGAAATCTGCCCTGGATGGACTTAATCCTCGTTGAAGAATAGCCTCAGGCCAAATCCACAATCATTATCCTTCAAAATCCAAGGAAACTGGCCTTTCAAAATAATTACGAAAATGCCATCCAAAAATATATTGGCCCAATTCGGTCCTTAAATGACTTAATCATCGGCGCAGAATAGGATCAATAGACTTTATTATCGGTGGAGAATAGCCTCGAGCCAAATCCGTGATCTGTAGCCTCCAAAATCGAAAGAAAATAGCATTTCGGAAAAATCGCCCGAAATCAGTGATGGTACCCTTTTGGAGTCTGCCAAAAATGGACCCGGAAGAAATCTGCCCAAATTGGCCCTGGATGGACTTAATTGTCGTTGAAGAATAGCCTTTGGCCGAATCCACCATCTTTATCCTTCAAAATCCAAGCAAAGTGGCGTTTCAAAAAAAAATCCTCAAATAATTACGAAATTGCCATCCCAAAATATATTGGCCATATTCGGTGCTTAATTAACTTAATCGTCGGCGCAGAATAGGATCAATAGACTTTATTATCGGTGGAGAATTGCCTCGAGCCGAATCTGTGATCTGTAGCCACCAAAATCGAAAGAAACTGGCATTTCGGAAAAATCACCCGAAATCTGTGATGGTACCCCTTTGGAGCCTGCCAAAACTGGACCCGGAAGAAATCCCCCCGAATTGGCCCTGGATGTACTTAATCGTCGTTGAAGAATAGCCTCAGGCCGAATCCACCATCTTTATCCTTCGAAATCAAAGGAAAATGGCCTTTCAAAAAAAATTGCTCAAATAATTACGAAAATGCCTTCCAAAATATATTGGCCCAATTCGGTGCTAAATTGACTTAATCACCGGCGCAGAATCGGATCAATAGACTTTATTATCGGTGGAGAATAGCCTCGAGCCGAATCAGTGATCTGTAGCCTCCAAAATAGAAAGAATATGGCATTTCGGAAAAATCGTCCGAAATTGGTGATGGTACCCCCTTTGGAGTCTGCCAAAAATGGACCCGGAAGAAATCCGCCCAAATTGGCCCTTGATGGACTTAATCGTCGTTGAAGAATAGTCTCAGGTCGAATCCACCGTCTTTATCCTTCAAAATCCAAGGAAAATGGCATTTCAAAAAAAAATGCTCAAATAATTACGAAAATGCCATCCCAAAATATATTGGCCCAATTCGGTGCTTAATTGACTTAATCATCGGCGCAGAATAGGATCAATAGACTTTATTATCGGTGGAGAATAGCCTCGAGCCGAATCCGTGATCTCTAGCCTCCAAAATCGAAAGAAAATGGCATTTCAGAAAATTCGCCCGAAATCTGTGATGGTACCCCTTTGGATTCTGCAAAAAATGGACACGGAAGAAATCCGCCCAAATTGGCCCTGTATGGACTTTATCGTCGTTGAAGAATAGCCTTTGGCCGAATCCACCATCTTTATCCTTCAAAATCCAAGCAAAATGGCGTTTCAAAAAAAAATTTCTCAAATAATTACGAAAATGCCATCACAAAATATATTGGCCATATTCGGTGCTTAATTAACTTAATCATCGGCGCAGAATAGGATCAATAGACTTTATTATCGGTGGAGAATTGCCTCGAGCCGAATCTGTGATCTGTAGCCAACAAAATCGAAAGAAAATGGCATTTCGGATAAATCACCCGAAATCTGTGATGGTACCCCTTTGGAGTCTGCAAAAAATGGACCAGGAAGAAATCCGCCCAAATTGGCCCTGGATGTATTTAATCGTCATTGAAGAATAGCCTCAGGCCGAATCCACCATCTTTATCGTTCGAAATCAAAGGAAAATGGCCTTTCAAAAAAAATTGCTCAAATAATTACGAAAATGCCTTCCAAAATATATTGGCCCAATTCGGTGCTAAATTGACTTAATCACCGGCGCAGAATAGGATCAATAGACTTTATTATCGGTGGAGAATAGCCTCGAGCCAAATCCGTGATCTGTAGCCTCCAAAATCGAAAGAAAATAGCATTTCGGAAAAATCGCCCGAAATCAGTGATGGTACCCCTTTGGAGTCTGCCAAAAATGGACCCGGAAGAAATCCGCCCAAATTGGCCCTGGATGGACTTAATCGTCGTTGAAGAATAGCCTCTGGCCGAATCCACCATCTTTATCCTTCAAAATCCAAGCAAAATGGTCTTTCAAAATAGTATTTGCTCAAATAATTACGAAAATGCCATCCAAAAATATATTGGCCCAATTCGGTCCTTAATTGACTTAATCACCTGCGCAGAATAGGATCTATAGACTTTATTATCGGTGGAGAATAGCCTCGAGCCGAATCCGTGATCTGTAGCCTCCAAAATCGAAAGAAAATGGCATTTCGGAAAAATAGCCCGAAATCTGTGATGGTACCCCTTTAGAGTCTGCCAAAAATGGATCCGGAAGAAATCTACCCTGGATGGACTTAATCCTCGTTGAAGAATAGCCTCAGGCCGAATCCACCATCATTATCCTTCAAAATCCAAGGAAAATGGCCTTTCAAAATAATTACGAAAATGCCATCCAAAAATATATTTGTCAATTCGGTCCTTAATTGACTTAATCATCGGCGCAGAATAGGATCAATAGGCTTTATTATCGGTGGAGAATAGCCTCGAGCCAAATCCGTGATCTGTAGCCTCCAAAATCGAAAGAAAATGGCATTTCAGAAAAATCGCCCGAAATCTGTGATGGTTCCCCTTTAGAGTATGCCAAAAATGGACCCGGAAGAAATCCGCCCAAATTGGCCCTGAATGGACTTAATCGTATTTGAAGAATAGCCTCAAGCCGAATCCACCATCTTTATCCTTCAAAATCCAAGGAAAATGGCCTTCCAAAAAAAATTGCTCAAATAACTATGAAAATGCCATCCCAAAATATATTGGCCCAATTCGTGCTTAATTGACTTAATCACCGGCGCAGAATAGGATCAATAGACTTTATTATTGGTGGAGAATAGCCTCGAGCCGAATCCGTGATCTGTAGCCTCCAAAATCAAAATAAAATGGCATTTCGGAAAAATCGCCCGAAATCTGTGATGGTACCCCTTTGGAGTCTGCCCAAAATGGACCCGGAAGAAATCCGCCCAAATTGGCCCTGGATGGACTTAATCGTATTTGAAGAATAGCCTCAGGCCGAATCCACCATCTTTATCCTTCAAAATCCAAGGAAAATGGCCTTTCAAAAAAAATTGCTCAAATAATTACGAAAATGCCATCCCAAAATATAATGGCCCAATTCGGTGCTTAATTGACTTAATCATCGGCACAGAATAGGATCAATAGACTTCATTATCGGTGGAGAATAGCCTCGAGCCGAATCCGTGATCTGTAGCCTCCAAAATCGAAAGAAAATGGGATTTCGGAAAAATCGCCTGATATCTGCGATGGTACCCCTTCAGAATCTGCCAAAAATTGAACCGGAAGAAACCCTCGCAAATTGGCCCTGGATGGACATAATCGTCGTTCAAGAATAGCTTAGGCCGAATCCAGCATCTTTATCCTTCGTGGAATATGGCCTTTCTACCAAAAATCGCTTAAAAATTCGAAAAAACCATCCCAAAATATATTGGCCCAATTTGGTGCTTAATTGACTTAATCATCGGCGCAGAATAGGATCAATAGACTTCATTATCGGTGGAGAATAGCCTCAGCCTGAATCCGTGATCTGTAGCCTCCAGAATCAAAAGAAAATGACATTTCGAAATAATCGCCCAAAATCTGTAATGGTACCCCTTTGGAATCTGTAAAAAAATTTGAACCGGAATAAATATGCTCAAATCGATGCTTAATGGACTTAATCATCTTTTAAGAATAGGCTCAGGCCGAATCCGTAATCTGTAGCCTTTCGAAATACTAAGAGAATGGCCTTTCGTCGCCCAAAAAATTACGAAAATGTCATATGAAAATAAATTGGCCCAAATGGCTGCTTAATGGGCTTATCGTCCATGGAGAAGAGGATCAATAGAATTCATTACCGGCGACGAATAGTGTCGGCTTGCATCAGCGATATTTAGCCTCCAGAATCGAAAGAAAATTGCATTTCAGAAAAATCACCCGAAATCTATGATGGTACCCCTTTGGAATATGCCAAAAATTGACTCGGAATAAATTCGCCCAAATCGAGGCTTACTCGACTGAATCATCGTTGAGGAATAGGCTCAAGCCGAATTCGTGATCTATAGCCTTTAAAATCCAAAGAAAATGGCCTTTCGTTGCCCAAAAATTACGAAAATGCCATCCAAAAATAAATTGCCCCAAATCGCTGCTTAATTGACTTATCATCCGTGGAGAATAGGATCGATAGACTTTATTAATGGCGAAGATTAGCTCGGCCTGAATGAGTGATTTGTCGCTTCCAGAATCGAAAGAAAATGATTTCGGAAAAATCGCCCAAAATCTGTGATGGTACGATGGTACCCCTTTGGAATACGCCAAAAATTGACTTGGAATAAATTCCCTCAAATCGGTGCTTAATTGACTTAATCATCGTAGAAGAATAGGCTCAGGGCGAATCCGTGATCTGTAGCCATCAAATTCCAAAGAAAATGGCCTTTTGTCGCCCAAAAAATTACGAAAATGTCATCCGAAAATGAATCTGTCCAAATCGTTGCTTAATTGACTTATTATCATTGGAGAATAAAGAAAATAGACTTCATTATCGGCGAAGAATAGCTCGGCCTGAATCTGTGATTTGTAGCCTCCAAAATCGAAAGTAAATGACATTATAAAAAAATATCCCAAAATCTGTGATGGTACCCCTTTGGAATATGCCAAAATTGACCCGGGATAAATCCTCTCAAGTTGGTGTTTAATGGACTTAATCATCGTTGAAGAATAGCCTCAGGCCGAATCCGTGATCTGTAGCCTTCAAAATCCAAAGAAAATAGGCTTTCGTCGGTTAACAAATTACGAAAAATGCCTTCCTAAAAACAATTGGCTCAAATCGGTGCTTAATGGACTTATCATTCTTGGAGAATAGGATCAATAGACTTCATTATCGGTGGAGAATATTGGCCTAAATCCGTGATTTGTAGCTACTAGAATCGAAAGAAATAACATTTCGGAAAAATCGGTTGAAATCTGTGATGGAACCCACGTTTGGAATATGCAAAAAATTGACCCGTAATAAATTCCCCCAAATCAGTGCTTAATGGACTTAATCATCGTTGAAGAATAGGCTCAGGCCTAATCCGTGATCGGTAGCCATCGAATTCCAAAGAAAATGGTCGTTCGTCGGCCAAAACATTATGAAAATGTCATCCAAAAATGAATTGGCCCAAATCCCTACTTAATGGACTTATCATCGATGGAGAATAGGATGAATAGACTTCATTATCAGCGGAGAATAGCTCGGCCTGAATCCGTTATTTGTAGCCTCCAGAATCGGAAGAAAATGAAATTAAAAAAAAAGCCCGAAATCATTGATGGTACCCCTTTGGAATATGCCAAAAATTGACCCAGAATAAATCCGCCCAAATCGATGTTTAATTGACTTAATCGTCGTTGAAGAATAGGCTCAAGCAGAATCCGTGATCTGTAGCTATCAAGATCCAAAGAAAATGGCCTTTCGTCACCCAAAAAATTATGCAAACGCCATCCTAAAAAGAAATGCCTTAATGGCTGCTTAATGGGCTTATCGTCCGTGGAGAATAGGATCAATATACTTCATTATCGGCGGAGAATAATGTCGGCTTGAATCCGGGATATGTAGCCTTCAGAATCGAAAAATTGGCATTTCTGAAAACCACCCGAAATCTATGATGGTACCCCTTTGGAATATGCCAAAAATTGACCCGGAATACATCCGCCCAAATCGATGCTAAACGGACTTATTCATCGTTGAAGAATAGGCTCAGGCCAAATCCGTGAACTGTAACCATCAAAATCCAAAGAAAATGGTCGTTCGTCGCCCAAAAAATTATCAAAATGCCATTAGAAAATGAATTGGCACAAATCGGTGCTTAATGGACTTATCATCCGTGGAGAATAGGATCAATAGACTTCATTATCAGCGGAGAATAGCTAGGCCTGAATCTGTGATTTGTAGCTTCCAGAATCGAAAGAAAATAACATTTCGGAAAAATCGCACGAAATCTGTGATTGTACGCCTTTGGAATATGCCAAAAATTGATCCGGAATGAATTCGCCCAAATCGGTGCTTAATGGACTTAATCATCGCTGAAGAATAGGCTAAGGCCGAATCCGTGATCTGTAGTCATCAAAATCCAAAGAAAATGGTCATTCGTCGCCCAAAAATTTACGAAAATGTCATTCCAAAATGAATTGGCCCAAATCGCATCTTAATGGACTTATCATCCGTGGAGAATAGGACAAATAGACTTAATTATCGGCGGAGAATTGCTCGGCCAGAATCCGTGATTTGTAGCCTCCATAATCGAAAGAAAATGACATTTCAAAAAAATAGCCCGAAATTTGTGATGGTACCCCTTTGAAATATGCCAAAAATTGAATTGGCACAAATCGCTGAGTTGTAGCCCCCAGAAAATAGCCTTTCGTCGGCCAAAAATTACGAAAACGTCATCTGAAAATAAATTGGCCGAAATCGCTACTTAATGAACTTATTATTCGCGGAGAATAGGATCAATAGACTTCATTATCGGCGAAAAATAGCTCGGCCTGAATCCGTGATTTGTCGCTTCTAGAGTCGAAAGAAAATGAAATTTCGGAAAATTCGCCCAAAATCTGTGATGGTACCCCTTTGGAACATGCCAAAAATTGACCCAGAATATATTTGCCCGAATCGGTTCTTAATGGACTTAATCATCGTTAAAGAATAGAATCAGGCCGAATCCATGATTTGTAGCCTTCAAAATTGAAAGAAAATGGCCTTTCGTCGACCAAAAATTTAAGAAAATGTCTTCCTAAAATAAATTGGTTCAAATCAGTGCTTAATGGATTTATCATTCCTGGAGAATAGGATCAATAGACTTCATTATTGTTGGAGAATAGCCTCGGCCTGAATCCGTGATCTGTAGCTTCCAAAATCGAAAGAAAATGTCATTTCAGAAAAATCGCCCGAAATCTGTGAAGATAACCCTTTGGAATCTGTCAAAAATTGACCCGGAATAAATCCGTCTAAATCGATGCTTAATTGACTTAATCATTGTTGAAGAATAGGCTCACACTGAATCTGTGATCTGTAGCCATCAAATTCCAAAGAAAATGGCCTTTCGATCGCCCAAAAAATTACGCAAATGTCATCCAAAAATTAAATGGCCTTAATGGCTGCTTAATGGGCTTATCGTCTGTTGAGAATAGGATCAATAGACTTCATTACCAGCGGATAATAGTGTCGGCTTGAATTCGGGGTATGTAGCCTCCAGAATCGAAAGAAAATGGTATTTCGGAAAAATCGCCCAAAATCTGTGATGGTACCCCTTTGGAATATGCCAAAAATTGACCCGGAAACATCCGCCCAAATCGATGCTTAATGGACTTAATCATCGCTGAAGAATAAGCTCAGGCCTAATCCGTGATCTGTAGCCATCAAAATCCAAAGAAAATGGTCATTCGTTGCACAAAAAATTATGAAAATGTCATCCGAAAATTAATTGGCCCAAATCGCTGCTTTATGGACTTATCATTCGTGGAGAATAGGATCAATAGACTTCATTATTGGCGGAGAATAGCTCGGCCTGAATCTGTGATTTGTAGCTTCCAAAATCGAAAGAAATTCATATTTCACAAAAAGCGCACGAAATCTATGATAGTACCCCTTTGGAATATGCCAAAAATTGACCCATAATAAATTCGCCCAAATCGGTGCTTAATGGACTTAATCATCGTTGAAGAATAGGCTCAATCCGAATCCGTGATCTGTAGTCATCAAAATCCAAAGAAAATGGTCATTCGTCGCCCAAAAATTATGAAAATGTCATCCAAAAATGAATTGGCTCAAATCACTGCTTAATGGACTTATGATCCGTGGAGAATAAGACGAATAGACTTCATTATCGGCGGAGAATAACTCAATCTGAATCCGTGATTTGTAGCCTCCGGAATCGAAAGAAAATGACATTACAAAAAAATAGCCCGAAATCAGTGACGGTAGCCCGTTTGGAATATGCCAAAAATTGACCCGGAATAAATCCTCCCAAATTGATGCTTAATGGACTTAGTCATCGTTGAAGAATAGCCTCAACCCGAATCCGTGATCTATAGCCTTGAAAATCCAAAGAAAATGGCATTTCGTCGCCCAAATATTTACAAAAATGTCTTACTAAAATAAATTGGCTCAAATCAGTGCTTAATGGACTTATCATTAGTGGAGAATAGGATCAATAGACTTCATTATCGGTGGAGAATAGCCTCGGCATCAATCCGTGATCTATAGCCTCCAAAATCGAAACAAATGGCATTTCGGAAAAATCACACAAAATCTGTGATGGTACCCCTTTGGAATCTGTCAAAAATTGACCCGGAATACATCTGCCCAAATCGATTCTTAATTGACTTAATCATCGTTGAAGAATAGGCTCACGCCGAATCTGTTATCTGTAGCGATCAAAATCCAAAAAAATGGTATTTCGTCGCCCCAAAAATTACGCAAATGTCATCCAAAAATGAAATGGCCATAATGGCTGCTTAATAGGCTTATCGTCCGTGGAGAATAGGATCAATAGACTACATTACCGGCGGAGAATAGTGTCGGCATGAATCCGGGACATGTAGCCTCCAAAATCGAAAGAAAATGGCATTTCGGAAAAATCGTCGGAAATATATGATGGTACCCCTTTGGAATATGCCAAAAATTGACACTGATTAAATTCTCCCAAATCAGTGCTTAATGGACTTAATCATCGTTGAAGAATCGGCTCAGGACGAATCTGTATTCTGTAGCCATAAAAATCCAAAGAAAATGGCCTTTCGTCACCCAAAAAATTACAAAAATGCCATCCGAAAATGAATTTGCCCAAATCTCTGCTTAATGGACTTATCGTCCGTGGAGAATAGAATGAATAGACTTCATTATCGGTGGAAAATAGCTCGGCCTGAATCCGTGATATGTAGCCTCCATAATCGAAAGAAAATGGCATTTCAGAAAAAACGCCCGAAATCTGTGATGGTACCCCTTTGGAATATGCCAAAAATTGACCCAGAATAAATCCGCCCAAATTGGTGCTTAATGGACTTAATCATCGTTGAAGAATTGGCTCAGGCCGAATCCGTGATCTGTAGCCATCAAAATCCAAAGAAAATGGTCGTTCGTCGCCCAAAATATTATGAAAATGTCATCCAAAAATGAATTGGCCCAAATCGCTGCTTAATGGACTTATCATCCGTGGAGATTAGGACGAATAGACTTTATTATCGACGAATAATAGATCGGCCTGAATCCATGATTTGTAGCCTCCATAATCGAAAGAAAATGACATTTCAAAAAATAGCCCGAAATATGGGATGGTACCCCTTTGGAATGTACGAAAAATTGACCCGGAATAAATCCTCCCAAATTGGTGTTTAATGGACTTAATCATCGTTGAAGAATAGCCTTAGGACGAATTCGTGATTTGCAACCTTCAAAATCCAATGAAAATGGCCTTTCGTCACCCAAAAATTACGAAAATGCCTTCCTAAAATAAATTGGCTCAAATCAGTGCTTAATGGACTTATCATTCGTGGAGAATAGGATCAATAGACTTCATTATCGGTGGAGAATAGCCTAGGCCTGAATCTGTGATCTGTAGCCTCCAGAATCGAAAGAAAATGGCATTTCGGAAAAATCGCCTGAAATCTGTGATGGTATCCCTTTGGAATCTGTCAAAAATTGACCCGGAATAAACCCGCCCAAATCAATGCTTAATGGACTTGATCATCCTTGAAGAATAGTCTCACGTCGAATAAGTGATATGTAGTCAACAAAATCCAAAGAAAATGGCCTTTTGTCGCTCCAAAAATTATGCAAATGTCATCCGAAAATGAAATTGCCCTAATGGCTGCTTAATGGGCTTATCGTCCGTGGAGAATAGGATCAATAAACTTCATTACTGGCGCAGAATACTGCCGGCTTGAATCCGGGATATGTAGCCTCTAGAATCAAAAGAAAATGACATTTCGGAAAAATCGCCCGAAATCTGTGATGGTACCCCTTTGGAATATGGCAAAAATTGACCCGGAATAAATCATCCCAAATCGATGCTTAATGGACTTAATCATCATTGAAGAATAGGCTCAGGCCAAATCCTTGATCTGTAGCCATCAAAATCCAAAGAAAATGGCCTTTCGTCGCCCAAAAATTATGAAAATGTCATCCAAAAATAAATTGGCCTAAATCGCTGCTTAATTGACTTATCATCCGTGGAGAATAGGATCAATAGACTTCATTATCAGCGGAGAATAGCTCGGCCTGAATCCGTGATTTGCCGCTTCCAAAATCGAAAGAAAATGACATTTCGGAAAGATCGCCTGAAAACTGTGATGGTACCCCTTTGGAATATGCCAAAAATTGACCTGGAATAAATTCTCTCAAATCGATGCTTAATGGACTCAATTATCGTTGAAGAATAGGCTCAGGGCGAATCCGTGATCTGTAGCCATCAAAATCCAAAGAAAATGGCATTTCGTCGCCAAAAAAATTAAGAAAATGTCATCCGAAAATGAATTGGCCCAAATCGTTGCATAATGGACTTATCATCCGTGGAGAATAGGACAAATAGATGGAAATTGGGGTGGGTGTGGTTACCCGCCCCACATTTTGTCGGCAACCACACTCACAAATATAGAATTATGCTACCCAGAACCCGCCCCGCGGTGGGTAGTGGTTAACCACTATCCGCTGCGAGTTGGTGCGGGTTGGTTGTGAATACCCACAAAAGTTTCATTATTAGTGAAGGTTTACATGAAAGAAAGTTAATAAAGTGTTAAATAAATTATAAATCTCGAATACAGGTGGTTAGTTAGTGTAAATTCAGAAGAGTTGGATTTGGAAAGAGATTTGAAGATAACGGAGAGGCGGAGTGACCTGTTACCAGACAAACATCGTTGCATGTCACGACTCCTCCAATGGCAACAACAACAAAACACAAAAGTGGTTCGATAAGTGGAGGCACTCGCTTTTAATGAATCAATTATTCCCCACTCTCGATTATAATCTTGTATTGTTGGTAGCTCGTTGCATGTTGTGTTGTTCGTGAGTTCATGGAGAAATGGAGACGAGTTTGGGTATCGAACTAACCTTTATTGATTATTCTCCTCTTCTAACGAATCGATTAATTTATCTGACTATATCTATGGACTTGGTTTTGTTATAAAATAAACATATACCACACGGACAATGCTTATTTGATAAAAGTATCTCACACGAACATTGCGTATTGAGTTGGTTTAGATTTATAGAATAAGTACGTATTTTATTTTAGTAGCTACCTTAATTTATAGTCTTCCAAGTTTCACAAACTAATATAACTAATGTGGTTAATGTGGGTTTTGAGGGTAAACTGTTGTGTGTTGTGGTTAACCATTAACCACAAAAATCATTATTTTGCTACCCACTACCACAAATTGTGGATATGGGTATCCATAAAGTGTGCGGTCTTCCACCCCTACTAAATATAACATAAAGATAGGAATAATAATTAGAAATTTGATAACCATTAAGCATACTTTATTGCATAATCTTGTCAATCATCTAATTTGTAAACAAGAAACATTTTTTGATAGTTATTATATGGTTTAAGTGGCGTAAAATTTATGAAAATATTTTTAATCTAGTGAATTACGATTGATATTTTAATTATTATATGAAAATTTTATGGAACTTATTAAATTTTGAACAATAAATAATAATAATTTGGTGATTGACTCATACATAAACATCCATGTTTAAGTATTTATGTATAAACACTAAACCACTAACTTCTATAAATATTTGTAGCACCATAAATTAATTAATTAAATCAAATTAGCATAGCTAAATAATTGAAGCTGTGAGACCATTATTTTGCTTTTATATGTGGCAACAAAAACAATAAAGTAAACAAAGTAAAAACAATAAAGGCAAAATACAGCTGCATATCCATAACTATCACGTTTGTGACAAATATATCCACAACTATCGAATACACGAAATATCCAAAAATCGGAAGGTTGTGTGACAAATCTATCCACTTCCGTCTGAAACTATAACGGTGTTAGTGACACCGTTAATTATTGTGACGGAATGCTGACTAGGATCCAAATCACCGTCCACGTCAGCAACAAATCAGCATAATATTAGAGTTAAATGACATGTTAGAAATTAATTAATAAAAAATTTAAAATTAAATTTTTTTCGGCGATCATCCCGATATTTCCGGCCACGCTATCCCGACGCCGAGCTTCATTACCAAGCTGCCAAATCCCAACAGCGAGCTTTGTTTCCTCCTCTAGCTTCCTCTCACGCTCCCGTCGCCGACATCGATCTTGGTCTTTTGCTTTCTCAATCGACGATCTGGCCTTGCCCACTTGCTCAATCGACTTTCTGTTTCTTTCTCAGATGGAAACCAATCCCACAGCCGATGTGAAAACCACCAAATCGAAGCAAGCAGAGGATTGGAAAAACCCCAAATCGCATTAAGCAGAGGATGAGAAACCCCCCCCCCCCCCACACACACACACACACACATCGACCACAGATGGAAGAAGACCTGGCGGCGGGGTCACTCAGCCGGCTCGATTCCCAGTGAACTCGCCGAGATGCCCAACCTCGACGCCCTCCCAGAGTCCTTCGCGCGGCTGCTTGAAGGGAAGTTCCTGTCTCAATATCTCTCCTAGCGACGTCGAGCTCCTCAACGACCGGTTGACCACAAAAGATGGGGCTAGTAAAGATCGACTGAGGGCAAGGACAGCCGTTGCGGCGGATTCAGCTTCACCACAGAAACCCAAATTCGACCTCCGAGCCTAAGAGTTTGATTTGAACGAATCGGCATCGAGCTTCAGCTTCCAATTACGATGTAACCTCCGAGCTTCAGTCAGGAACCCAGATTCGAGCTCCGAGTCTCCAAGATTGATTCGAATGGAATCATTTCAAACTTCAATTGACCTCTGAGCTTCAACCCAAAAACCCAGATTCAATAGAGGCGTTTGTGTTGGTACTTGGAGGCGATTGCGTACGTGAACGACATGACGAAAGGGGTGGTATAAATGAGATGCGCTGCCGAAAATCCAACTTCTTCTGCATCATCGGACACAGCGAGGGCAATAGAGAGAGATCGAAGATGGGGCTTTAAGGAAGAAAAGGAGAGAGGTGGGAAGACGATGGGAAGAGGAAAAGAAGGATTTTATCTTTTAATTTTTTTATTTTTTCCATTATCCACGTGTAATGGCGGGACCAAATATCGCCTACTCAGCCCATTCCGTCAATCCAGTCAGACTGTTAATTGACGTCGTTAGAGCATTAGACGGAATTGGATATTTCGTGTATTTCGATAATTGTTGATATATTTGTCACAAACGTGATAGTTATGGATTTTATAATGAATCCATGTTTGTTAGCATATAATGGATTTTGTTTCAATCTGTGGGGTCCACTAATATTGGATTATTTGGAGCTAAAATCCGTGGGCCCCATGGATTATAAAATCTTACCTCTATAGCTAGGATTTTAGAAGATAGATATAATCCATGATGTTTAATGACCGTGTTACCCCCACTCATTTTGTGTAATCCAATTTTGCCCTCGGTTATTATTATCTCTACTGAGGACTTTTGTCTACACTCTCATCTCATCAACTTTGTCTCTTCGTTGCCAAGGGATTGCAACACAGCAAAAAGCTCCGGCAACCTTTTCCATCTCTGCCTATCGTCGTTTTGTCTTCCTTTTATATGAAGCTCAACAATTAATTATTTCATGCTTACATCCTCTTTTTTTATAATCCAATCCAAACCCTTGATTTTCCTTTCGACATTATTGGTTTGGGTTGAGAGTTTCAATTTACTTTAATGGCTTCTTGCGTGTATACAATATGACCAAATAGTATGGATGTTGCTGCCATTTTTACATATGCTAATTCTTCATGTATATACAAAAACATTCAAAATACAAGTAAAGTAAAAAGTGGTTCATTAAGGATAAGAAAGTAATTTCCCCCATCAAGCCATAATTCCAACCTACTAAAAGCCATTACCAAATCCTACAAACAAACATGGAAGTTTCAAAATCCAACATAATCAAAATCCAATATAATCTCTCATATTCAAAATCCAAGGTTTTATCATAATCCCTCATTTTCTAAAATCCTAGAAGCAAACGACCCCTAAAGAAAACCGGCAATCACCCGTTAATTATGGACGGCACGGGCCGGCATAGTACCTTCTGACCGGGACGACGACGTTGAGCCTACATGTCTCGTTCTGCCAGCGAGGAGCGCTGCGCGCTTCCTTGTGAAACTCCGGTCTCCTCTCCTTTGCTTCCGATCTGGAACTGGACTGAACTTTACCTCTATAGTGCCAATGGCTGCTGCTCCGCAATCGCAGCTTTTCTTGTCTCCTTCTCAAGTAGCTAACTACTGAACAGCTTTCAACACCAAAACACATACGAAGAAGTGAAGGATCCAGGTTCCGGCGCGGGGAAAGAAAACAACAATGCGACCTCCGAAGTCTATCAGTAGATTGCCGCCGGTGCTTCATCTGGGCTGCATCGCGGCGTTCTTCTTCTTCGTCTTCTTCTTCTTCATTCAATCTTCTTTCTTCTCAGGTTACTCCTCTCCCCCTTTCGTCTTCCGATTCCGCTCTTGTTGTTTGTCTTCTTATAATTCAATCCTAAGTTCCCAGTTCCACTTTCCCTATTCCAAATCCCTAATGAGTCCAATGGTTTTCTCGCTTCAGGTAGTAAGAAATCAGATCCCAACACAGAAGGGGACAAGCGCACACTTTCTCAGTTTCAGTCCGCCGTTCAGCAATGCGTGGTTAGTGAATTTCACTTTTTTCATGTTCTTGAACTGTTTCCATTTGGATGCGAGCTCGTTACGGGATAACCTTGGTGACGTTCTTCATTCATTAGTATTGAAACTCACATAGTTGCAGAGATGGGAAGCATCCCATTTCTTGCTTTTCGATTTGTCTCGGTCACATATCAGTTCTTGGAACTCCTGATGGCATCTGCTTCCATTTCTTGTTGTTCCGCTGGATCACATTTCAGCTCTTAGTACTCTAGATGGCATCTCACTAGCGCATCTGTAACATGTAGGCAAACAGGGGGCTTGGTCTTACTGCATTAATCACCGATCATTGTAAAATGACTCTCAAGTTCCCAGAAGGCACCAACAGCACTTGGGTTTGCTGCTTCTTATCATCTCGTTTGTGTTTACTCAGAGCATCATGATTCATTTAGATGTTTGAAATCCTGATTTTAGTAGTTCTTATTGCAGTACAATGCACAGTTCAAGATTTTTGAACCATTGGAGTACCATTATGATATTTGTGATACACTCATGTTGTGGGAACAGGTTGGTACATCTTTGTGTCCCTTTCTTGTTATATTTGGTTATTCAGCTTCATGATGTGTGCTGATGTCTTTAGAGTTGCAGTATCGGAACATGACTACTGTGCTGACACGAGAATATCTTGATACTCGCCCTGATGGGTGGTTTGATTATGCAGCAAAAAGGATATCTCAACTGTAAGATCTTAGTCCTGCCTCGTGGTTTTTCTTTTTTTCCTCTGAGATTTTGGGTTGCTTGCCTTAGAGCCAATGCGAATTCAGCTTATTTTGCTTGGTTACTCTAATGGCAGGGGAGCTGAGAAATGCTACAACCGTAGTCTGTGTGAGGAAAACCTTAACGTGATATTACCAGCAAGGCCACCTTTCCACCCTAGGCAATTTAAAACCTGTGCTGTTGTTGGTAATTCTGGAGACCTTTTGAAGACAAAGTTTGGTAAAGAGATTGATGGTCATGATGCTGTTATAAGAGATAATGAAGCTCCTGTTACCCAGGTAAACATGAAGCAGATTTCATGTGCACTTTCCATTATAGCTTAAGGTTGGCAGGATAGCAAGTTACAGTTTTTCCCCAAGAAGAAACTACAGCTAATGTGATGAATGAGATATTTATCGGGTTCTCCCTCTACATGTATCACCATGATAGTTACTATATGTTGTGGCCTGTTTCTCCATATTTTTGAAAGTTCAAAACAACCTACATCAAATGCAACTGAGCTTTTCGTGTATCATGTAGAAATATGCACCACATGTTGGACTGAAGAGGGATTTCCGCCTTGTGGTTCGTGGTGCTGCTGCTAATATGGTCAAAATTTTAGAAGGATCTGGTAATTGATTCTGTTATCCCTCAGCTTGTACTTGCTTTTCCCCACCTTCGTTCGGCCTTTTATTTTGCCTAGTTTGATATGTTTAACCTCATGTGTTTTTGTTGTTGTTGTTGTTGCAGATGATGAGGTGCTTATCATTAAAAGCATGGCCCACAGGGACTTCAATGCATTGATAAAGGTTAACATGACAATCCAAATTGTAGTTTTCAGACAGTTAATGAAGCGAGCTCCCTATTTTGAGCTCAGCTACAAACACATCAAGTGTAAACCAGATTTCTCCATTTGCTATTCATTTGGATTCCTTGAAACCTAGAATGGTCTCCCACTCCCATTGTAACCATATCAACATTTTTCTGTTCATTTGAAGTAGGCCTCGCCTTAATATTTCATCTCAAGAATCGTTAGAACTTTTAGGCATTGCTTGCCTGCTCTGAACTTCATTGCACACATTCCAACGTAGTTGTATTGATGTTTAATTGTGTGCATTACAGACTATTCCGAACCCTGTTTATCTCTTCCAAGGGATCGTGCTGCGCAGGGGTGCTAAAGGAACTGGGATGAAATCTATTGAACTTGCACTTTCAATGTGTGAAATTGTTGACATATACGGTTTCACGGTTGATCCTGGCTACACTGAATGGTAAGCTGAATAATCATTTACCCAATTACTTATCTGTTTGCCTGAGTATTGGATTCTGCAATTTTCTTTGCTGTCCCCTTGCTGTAAGTGTAGAACTTGAAAATTGGAGTGCATTTACCTCAGCATCAGCATATTTCCTTCTTTTACTTTGTTTTCTTTGTTGCTTATGGCAACTGCTAACTTTTGCAGGACAAGATACTTCTCTACTCCACGTAAAGGGCATAATCCACTTCAAGGACGAGCATATTACCAACTCCTAGAATGTCTTGGTGTACGACTAATTAATCCTTCTACACACTTTGTACAATTCATTTCTCCTGGGCGGCATCTTGATAGAGGTTTTGTCTTTGGTTGTGCACAGGTCATTAGAATCCACTCCCCCATGAGAGCTCAGAGGAAGCAAGACTGGTCCAATGTCCCAAGCCGAGAAATGGTATCCAGAGCACATGCAGCAGCCATGCGGTTGAAGCTTGGAGAGGAGATCGCAGGGTTAGGTCAGTTTGGAAAATGCAAGGTGTGGGGTAGTGCAGATGCTGCCAACAACGGGCCTATCTCTGGATCTCCTGACATGAGTGATGTAAGGAAATATTCGAACTACAGTAAGTGGGAGACGATGCCGTTTCAAAGTCTTAGACGAGAGGCACGGGATCATTATGCCCAGATGGAGGATGTGTCTTTGTACAAGATGGATGGCAATAAGTTGGACGATCTGGTATGCGTCAAGCACAAGTCAGCATCTTCAGTATGATTTGCAGTCTCGGCTTATCAGTTAAGTGAACTACATGAGCCTTTTTGGTGCATGTGCGCGGAGATTGAGAAGAGAATACAAAGGATGGTTTCCAGTGTCCAGTTTTGATGTTCAATTAGCTCCAACGATGGTGATCAGCTCAAAGGCTTCCATTTTCAATTTAGCTGTGTGCCGGTGTAAGCGGATATTATTTGTATGAACCTTATTGAATGAAAACTTGTGCACCTTAGGATGTTGTATTTAATGTAATCAAAGACAGCAGCAGTTAAAGATAAACAGGACAGCCAGCATGAGCACACGTTCAGAGTAGGCAGCAAAAAAATCTTTCAACTTCACCACTTTCCATTTCTACAATCAGCATTCAGCAATGCATGCAGTAGCAGGAGATCGCAATTTTTCATCAGGGTGGAGGTCAAATGCATATCAAAAGCAATATAACAGTCAGCTAACTTGTCACAAATTAGAACATGTATAGTAGAGGAATTGGATTACTGCAGTTGAAGAATCAGTTATTCATTTATCATCAATCAAGCCGCCTTGACATTCTTCTAAGACTTAACTCATCAGATTGACAGCCAATCTACCACGAACTAGCGATTGACGTTACATTTGGTTAGAGCTATCGAGGGTCTCATGTAAACAAGGGTCAAGACCCTTGGTTACTTGAGATGCAGCGGCATCTTACCTGATTAACTGGGTAGTAGGACTTAACTAGTACTATACATCTTGCAAATGAGCCGCGTCGAACCGAGATTTGTCTCAGATTAAGCTTGGCTCGTTAATAATCGAGCTCGAGCTCATTTATTAAAGAGCCAAGTCGAGCTTGAGCTAGGCTTCTTTACAAAAATCTTAATTCATGTTTGATACATTCATTTTGTATGTTATGTATGATACATGTGATAGATGTCATGTTGAAAAAAAAAATATAATCAAACGTTCAACATTAACTAATCTCATGTTCTGCTCTATTAGTATCAAACTATTTAGTTAATAAATATTAAGATTTGTATGATATAGTATTGAATCAATCTATAATAATTTATTTTCATAATTAAAAGACACATTTGCTTACATACTTCACATCTTAAACATCATATAGAGTAAAAGTGATAATGAGGTGGGAATGACTAATGAGATGGTAATTTTAAAAAAATTAATTTTATTAGTTTTAAATTGCCACATCACACATTTAACGGTCAATTTTTAGAGTTGGCTGCCACGTAAGCAAAAATTAAAAGAGTTGGACGGAGAGTGACCAAACGTAAACGGTTTCAGTAAACTGAAATACCACCAATGGATTTAAATATTTCGAGTGACCAAACTTGAACAATTTTTGTAATCTCGGTGACCAACCATGTAATTAACCCGAGTAAAATATATAGTTTAACAAACCTGTGAATTGTCAAAATTCAAATCATAAGATGGAGACCGATTCTCTGATAAGTTGGTAGACAGATTGCATCTAGCCACAATGTTAAGACATCTTATGAGCTCTAAACGAGCCAGCTCACGAGTTTAGCTCAACAAGCAACCGAATCGAGCTAGCTAGAAGCTTCGCAAGCTGTAGCTCAAACTCGACCCGTATGTAAACGAGCTAAGCCTCAAACCACTAGCGAGATAGCTCAAACTCGACCCATTTGTAAACGAGCTAAGCCTCGAGCCACTCGCGAGAAGCTCTGACTCATTTGCAGTTGCAGCCCTACATCTCAGGCTACCTGAACAAGGATTGTGAGCCAAACATCACTAAGCTCTAAGGCCTAAAACCAAGTGAGGCTGAACTAAAGCTGAAGCTGTAATTATATCATACAACAACTCGCAAATCAGCATAATCCTGACGCGCTACATATTATGAATTACCAACTCCATTTTATGAATTACCAATAAAGAAAAGGAAGGCTAGAAGCCCATATCCAAATCTCTTACAAAACTAAGACCCAAAGTGCAACAAATAACACCACCGCACCACCATGAACCCCTTCAAAAACCATACATAAGTAGAACATCCATTATAGCTATCGATCAGTCGGCCTACAACGAAGTACAGCAGCAATCCATCACCATCAGTTTACCAACATTGAGCTTACCTCAGAAACTTACAACGTCCACACAAACTCCGGAGCATCTCTCCTCTGTCCGGCCAAAGTACGGTACAAATACATCTTCTCCACCTTCTGCCTATCATCATCGCACCCACCAACAAACTCCATCTGATCATTCTCATTTATAATCTCTACATTTAACCCGGGCATCCTCTTTGCTAGAGCCTTGCACCCTCCCAGCGTGACCTCACAGGACGACATCCAAAGGGATCGCATTGTCTCGTACTTAGCCACGTCCATCAGAAGTGCCGCATTACCAAAGGGACTGTCCCTTATCTCCAGCTTTCTCAGCTTCTTGCAACCCTTCAGCACGTACTGCATCCCTTTGTCGCTGTCCCCTGCAAAGGCTATCGACAGCATCTCCAGCTGCTCTGCATACATCCCAATGTAGAGAAATACTTGGTCGGTCAGAAGACCAGAAAGGGACAATCTTTTCAGACCCTTGCATGCTTGGACTATTGCACCGAAACCTTCATCGAGCGGCTGCTGGGTCACTGCATCAGGTTTCGTGGGGTCCAGGATGCAGAGCCTGAACCGGACAAAGTTAGGGCAGTTCTTGGCAACTGTTATGAGTGCAGCATTGGTCATCTGTTGGCAGAAGTAAAGTATCGAGTTGAGCTTCTGGCAGCCTCTTGAGATGGCGACCAGGCCTTCCTCTGTGACAGCAGCTTGTCCAACATAGGGATCAGATGGAAAGACACGTAACTCCTCAAGGTCTTTGCAGGTAGAAGCTACGACTTCAAGCCCTTTATCACCAATGCAATCTAGTATCTGCAATAAGAAGGCAGGAAAGATAATCATTTAGAAGAGATATACTAAAATGCCAATAACTTTAAGATCATCTGCATCCCCAGACTGCCATGCAAAAAATTCAGCAATTACTTCATTCAACAATTTCAAGCCAGTTACATCCCCGCAAGTGGATTGAAATTCCAATCCATCATCTAGAGAGAAAAAGCAGTACATAAGAAAGTCAAAAACTTTAAAGATATAAAATAAAATAAAAAGCGATACCCATAAGCGCTGGAGCTTGTGGCAGTGACGGATGAGCTTTATGAGCTCGTTGTCATAAATTCCTGGGGCATAGCTCAAGTTCAAGGAGGTCAAGTTAGGGCAGATAACGTGGAAAGCGGACAGGCAATGGGGAGCAACATCCAGAAACCCAGACAGACTCCTAACAGATTTACACTTCTGAATGGCGGTTACAAGTTTATTGTAGTTCTCGGAATCTGGATCATGAAGATAAGAGCCGACTCCTAAATCCAACAATTGGGGCGCTCGAATCAGTATCCTCTGAAGTACATCAAGAGGTACTGCACGGCTCAACCTCAAGCTCTTCAAATTGGGGGATCTAGCTACGAGCCTTTCGAGAGCAGGCAAATTAATATCTCCTTTGAGGCACGCAAAATTGAGTGAGACAAGAGATGTGCTGCTTTCAGGGAAGCAGCTGAGCCAATGCCCTCTGTGATCCTCGACATCATTTTCTTGCAAGTCCAGCTCCTTCAGTTGCCTGGGTTTTGACAACAAAATGAAAAACATAGCAGTCACAATACAGCTTGCAATTTTTAGTTACTACGCACTCAATCTACAACCAAAGACGCATCAGACAAGTTCTGCTCTTTTTCAATTCCTATCAACTTGAAACCAAATCAGTTCATAAAAAATAACTCATTTTCGGCACTCCCCACATCAAGTTTGCCAAAACGAATAGCAAACAACATAAGCCAGCAATTAAGGGATTAAAAAAGTGAAAGCTTTCTCAAATGGAGGCCAGGAATCACAATGAGCATCACCAAACTAGATCCATCCATTCATTAGCCATCAACACAACACCAGAAGAAACAAAAAAGTACCCAAGCTGAGCTATGTTCCCAGTCAACCTTACTTTCCAAAAGCAGGCTTCTTTGCTAGATTGGAAGCAAACTGACAACAGAACTGCCCTGCTTGAACTGACATTCTCACCAATTGCCACAATTTGGAAAAAAAATCTCACCAAAAATAGCAATCCCAGGAGCTCATTCTTAGTTCAGCAAAAATACTGTAGCTAGATTGCATCAAGAATGAATAAGAAGAGACAAAATCAGAGAGAGGAGAGGGAGAGAGAAAAGTTTAAATCTTTCCGTTATCTTACCTACAATAAGCAGCAACAGCTGCTAGCCCATCAGTTGTGAACCCTTCACAGCTCACCAGAACCAAAGACTTGAAATTAGGGAAAGACCTAGACAGTAACTCCAAGCTTTCATCAGAAACAACCATCCTTTTCAGCCGGAGTTCCTCCAGCCCGACCCGGCTCCTAGCGAAAGCCTCGATCCATGGGTAAACGAAGCCTCCCCAGTCCGGAGGGACAAGATTGAAGTCAGCGAAATGAGGCTTCCCCTTGAGGGTAATCGATTTCAGCCCCGAGAATCTCTCCGCGACCCTCTCCGGCCCAATCGCATAACAGTTCCCCACGAACACCGTCTGCCGGCTGTAACTCTCGATCCTATACCACAATTTACAAACCTGGGACACCGAGTTCCTGTCCTTGTGGGAACCCACGAAATCGAAGATGTGCTCCAACACCTCGTCCGGGAAGTAATTCATCCTCTCTCTCGCCCTATCCTCTCCTTCAGACGGGCATCGAATCTGGACTCGACCTAGATCTAGATTTCAGCTCGAAAGAGAAACAGATCTGATAAGAAGGGGTGGGGAAGCTGGAATTAGCGAAGTGGGGGGATGGATGGAGTTGCGAAAGTCGAAAATCTTTTACTCGGGGGAAAGGGGAATCTTTTCTGCGAAATGGATGGATGATAATTGACTGAATCAGAGAGTGATTATTAGTACAACAAAAAAGGGCGGAAAAAGGGAGGAATTTTTTTCTCCTATCTTTTGGTTTTGGTTGGAGGAAGGGTAAGCAGAGAGTCGAATAGAAATGGGATCTGGGAATCAAGGAGACGACGCCATTACAGGTGGTGGGGGGCAAGGGAAATCTAGCGAGCTAGCCATGGATGAACGAAGCGGGAGGAAGGAAGAAGGGAAGAGTCCAAAGAGAGACCCTCTCTCAAAGGAGATTAGATTCGCCCCAAGACACTCGTATTAATTTTCCTCTTTTTCCCGGTCCTGAATTTCTCTTCTTCTTTTTTTTCCCCCTCTCTTCTTCACACAGTGTCCCTTGCTTGGCGGTAATGGTGGTGTCAGGGGGGAAAAATGACATCCGCTGGCACAAGTATTTACGTGAGGTGCCACCTTTGAAGATAAGATTTTTTGGCCCTTTCCCTCCTTTTCTTTTTCTTTTAATCTTACCCGCGGGATGGACGCGCGTGTCATGCCACTCGCTGCCTCAATCTTCGACAACCCCATGTGGGCTTTTGGCCTTTGAGAGAGAGGGGCCGCCTCTTTTCTTTTCAGCACTGCGATACGCCGTCGTTTGACACGCTAGCCCTTGTCACTAGTGAATTTTCTCAGTTTAATCTTCGTACAATTTACACTGAAGAATTGGTACATTATCTTTGATTTTTTTACGTATTTTCCGATGAAGTTTTAAATAACACGAATATAATAGCGTTATTAACTTATTATGCTAAAAAAAAATTCATTATCATCCATACTGTCTATATTAGCATGATAACAAAATATACTATGTAAATATGTCATGAAGATTTAACTAACTTATATAGACGGTTTAATTTATGATTATACTCAATCTGAACTAAACGCATTACGAAAATTTCATTACAAATCATATTATTTTCTCATCATCCTATCATCCGACTATCTGGTAGATAATTAGGGGATTTGTATGGGCCTTAAACGTATTAATTTAAATACATTTTGACACGTTCATATAGACTATTCTAATAAAAATTACTTGATTGACACGAACATAATGATTATTATGCATGTTATTGCGGATGATATTAACAAATTCATTAAAATTCAAAGTTGAGTTACTGGTTTGTTAGTAAACCCACTATATGATCACAGTTAGGTAATTGACCCGTTAGTACTGTATGACAGTATTGTACTACTGTATACTGTATAGATCTGTTAACAATTATGGGCTTTCATCTTCTTCTTTTTCTTTTGTTTTTGCTTGCTTGGAAGGAGATGCTCTATTAACTCTTTTCTACTTATATTTATGTGGTAGATGTGGATAAACATATAAATATACTAATGATGACACTGTTTCATGTATGATTGCACTAGTGGGGAAAAGGGGGGAATGAAAGAGAAGCATCGTTTCTCATAAATTCTAATAAGTGAAAGTAAGAGGTTAATCATTGGTTAATTTAATTTAATTTTTACATTTACTTGATATATTAAAAAATGTCTTCTTTTTATGTAATTTTGATTGTTGATGGAGCATATATTAAGTTTGATCATCATTGAACATTTTTATTTATCATTTATATACTGCTATCCTTATAGAATTACAATTATTACAATTTTTCTAATAATACTGATATATTACGTGTATATTGAATGAACGGTAACTTGTTAATATAATATACTATTTTAAGATGAAAGCACTACTTAAATGGATTATAGGATGAAATCCACATTAATCATACATGATTTGTGGGGGGTTTGACTAAGTGGATAATAGAAAGTAAAAACCAATTAGTATAGGTAGGTGGAGAGGAGAGGCTTGATTATTGTTTCCCAATTTCCTCCCTATTCTTTTTCTTCTTCTATTTTTTACATTTTTGGGAACAGATCAGGTCAGTAACCTTATGGTGAGTAACCAGCTCACATCAGCATGACATCAGCATTCTCTCTCTCCTGAAAAGCCTTTAATTTTCCCCTCTTTAATCTTTGACGGACGATTTCTCACTCATTTTAAGTCGAAATTTAATTTTTTTGCACGGTTAGATCAGATTAATTGTGCTCCACAAAATGATATCCAATTTAATATATTTTTCGAACAAAAAAAATTGAGCCATTTTTTACCAGTCTATACCATATAGTTTTGACTGGTATTGAAATAAAAGCATACCTATGGTTTGAAAAACGTACCATGGTGGTATGAACAAACCAAGACTGTAGGATGGTTGAATACATGATAGTAGAAGTATATTAATTGTCATTTACGACCTTTAACATTGTATACCACACAATATCACCTCGTACCAGGGTGGTATTGTATGGTATTGTGTGGTATTTTTTGGTCCTGTAATTTATTCACCCAGAAATTTGTAGATCCAATAGATCATGATGAACTCGTCCCTTATGTGCAAACGTTTTCAGAAACGAATTAAAAACGAAGAAGATACCATACAATACCACCCCGTACCAGGGTGGTATTGTATGGTATTGTGTGGTATTTTTTGGTCCTGTAATTTGTTCACCCAAAATTTTTTAGATCCAATAGATCATGATAAACTCGTTCCTTCTGTGCAAACTTTTTCAAAAACGAATTAAAAACGAAGAAGATACCATATGGTATGCAGTTGGTACCGAGAGGCCAGAATTTTTTTTTCTAAAAAAATATTGAAAATTGTTCTCATTTGGTAGAGCACGATGAACTCGTTCCATCTGTGCAAAAAAAAATTAAAATCCGAGTTAAAACGAAAAAGATATGAGCCGATTAAGAAAGCTAGGAAACATAAAAATGGTCCTTAATTTTCCATCCTTAGATCTGGATTTTCTAAATGAAGGGTCTAGATTTGGTTATTGATGGATGCATAACCCACCCTATCTTGAGCCCATTTTGGCACCACGGAAAGCTGACCAAACAACAAAAATAAGGTAAGAGGGTAGAAGGTAAAGACAGTCTATCTACTTTTTATTATGCATGTTATGATGAGGTGATGAGACTTTGAGATCTCATATGAGAAAATCATCCAAATCCTTCACTTTGCTCTTATAGTACATTTCCCTACTTTTTTCTTGATCAAATTATCTCTAAACAAATTAGTTAAGATTCATTACATATTTTTTTACCTGACATGTGAATATTGGTCAAAATATATGTGTTAAAATTAATATATAGCAATAACAGTCAACGTGAAATGTATGATTGATGCACAACGAATAAATTTTTTATAATTTCCTATGCATACATCTTTATTAAGTGCTAACATATTACTTGTTTTTTCTTACATGTTGAGTAATTCCTAATTACACTTTGATCATTGTAACTTATAGTTGTAATGCAGCAACCCTACGTACATTTGGTTCAATGTGTCATTGTACGTATTAAAAGCATATTGAAGTACATAATTAAGTAGACACCCATCTCTTCATGCTGACGTTGGCAATGGTAACTATTAGCCCTTCTTTTACATGGCTCATCACATCCCAACTGTCCTATTTATTTTACCACTACTGATACCACACTACACAATGCGCATCGTCATCAATTGATCACTCATCACATTCTCTGCACACTCTGCCCTCCCTCGCTCTCCCCACACAGATTTATGGGGAATAAGATCATCATCACTCTCTACTACTTGCATAATATAAGCCACTGTTAACGAACAAAGAGAGGGTGGAAGTTAATTTGATCGATGAAGGAGGGAATAAGTAACTCGATCGGTGAAAACTAGCTAGTACGTAGTTACCCTGCTTTAATTTACGCCCTGCATGCTTAGTCTTTGTATTTTGAACGAAGAAAGAGGCTCTTCCTTATATGAGTTTTAGGAATAGTAGTGTGTATTATTATGAAACCACAAAGGGGTATATATAGATTACAAGACTCGGACAATAAGTAAGAGAACCACAATACTAAAAGGACACGGTAATACTAAGAGCTATACTATAAGGACAAGAAAATATAAGATTATTCCTAATCTATCTCTAACACGCCCCCGCAAGATGATGGTGTGAAGAACAACATCAATCTTGACCAAAATACGCCAATCTTGAAGAACACGCCCCCGCAATGTGATGGTGTATAATATGTTGCAAACTCGTCGAACTCTCGTGCTTGAAGAGCGAAGCCAACTAACCGTCGTCTTGGAGAAGAAGAAATCATCAAACTTGCAATTCATATGTTGCAACGAAACTCACTCGTCGTAAAAAATTGACCGGAAACGAGATGAACAATAATCAGTTGGTTTTAACGATACCAATAAACGTAAACTGGTGTAGGACACGAGGCATTCATCCGAATGACCGTTGTCGGAGAAGCTTACTTCGTTCCATACACGTGAAGAATAGATGGGTGGAGGATGACCGTGGCTCCGCCATATAATTCTGCAACAATATGAAAATAAGATAAGAACGATAACATCGGCTATAAAAACCGGATCTTGATCTCCAAGGACAATGCGGCAGTGGTCAATCGTCAGAACACAAAACAACTATCAGAATCTACAACGAAAAATAACGAAGATGATATGGAATAAAGGAATGCATTGGGAGAGTGATAATTGGAATCTTGGACTGTTACGGCTGGGGAAACGAGTCAGGGAAAGATGAGTATTGGCTAAGGCACCTATCAAGCTAAAACTGATAAAATTTAATTATGGCTACGGGAAGGAAAAACAAGGCAAACTATAGTTATAAACTGGGAATGGGGAATGCAGGGGATTAATAGGCAGGAGAGAAAAAGGGATCAGGAGAGTGAGGACTCATCCTGCCGGGGGAAAAAGAAGAAGGTTTTAGGATTCCTGGATCAAGGCTGTTAAGCTAGAGGCTCCGATACTATATATGAGTTTTAGGAATAGTAATGTGTATTATTATGAAACCACAAAGGGGTTTATATAGATTATAAGACTTGGACAATAAGTAAGAGAACCACAATACTAAAAGGACACAGTAATACTAAGAACTATACTATAAGGACAAGAAAATATAAAATTATTCCTAATCTATAAATAACATTCCTTACTTTCTCCCTTCCTTACCTTCTTTCCCTTTCATTTCCTTTCATTTCCCCATTGCCGTTTTGTTGTTTTCCCTTTTGCTTTTGCCGACCACTTATCTTTCTGCTAAGTTAATTGGTTGGTTTGATAGATTATATTGGGATATTAATGATCTATATACATACGAATATGATATGTGTCAATTTTGTCAATGGGTATGGATAATTACCCTTTTGTCTTCTCAACTTAACACAAGTAAACTTCAACAAGTTACCTTTTAAAATAACTAGCTTTTTACCCGGCCCATTGGCCGGAGAGATTTATTTTATAATTTATATGTTTAAATCATTTTGGATCTTCTAAATATTTTGTAACAGAGTTTGTAGTATGTCTATATTGAAATTTCCAATATTTAGCACACTCACTTGTGATGCTTCGGTTTTCGAATCATAAATTATGTCGCTGTCACGTCCCACTTAGAACTTATGTCAAAATTTGCCAACCAAACCACTAATATTTAGCGTACGCCAACCTAAACCACACACACACACACACACATATATATATAGTTCAAGCTAGCGTGCGTCAGGAGTACGTTATACTCTTCCGTTCATACTACCATACGACCATTGAGTTTTACTATTTAGACCCGAATTAACCGGATTTTTTTGGGGCATTATACTATACCCTAACCTCTAATAGGTGAACTCTAGTCCCTAATTCTGTAACCTCTAATTTATGCACATACTTCGTAATACCTATCTTCTATCGTATCTTGAGTTAAATAAAAAGTATAGTATACCTTGATATTACATATACATGTATATATATATGTGTGTGTATGTATGTATGTATGTATATTAGACTCAAAATTATCTAGAGATCTCGCTTTTACCCCCATAACGCCAGAGAACCATTGGGGTTGTCTATTTTTCGATATATAATATATAAAGAGGCAAATACTAAGATCCTACTACTTATTTCTTATCCTCTCCCGCCGACCCCTTTATGGAGAATAAAAAAGTAGGGATGACAGGATCATAGCTCGATATGGTTTTATTATGTTCATCTTATCAGAGGTTATGTTCTTTTTTTTTTATTCTTTTCATTCTACTTTAGCACCTATGGTTGTGATCAGAGGTATTTAGCCCTCGAAAGGGATTGGGATTTTAGGTCCTTTGGAAATCCAATACACATTCATGATCCTCGAGTTTGGACGAACTCTCGACCAATGTTGTAAAAATTTCGACTTTTTAGTGAGAAATTCTTAGTAAAGATACTTCATTATTGGATTTATTCATCCATATTGAAACTTGACACACACTGTAGCCCTCATGATGCCTAAATTCTCTAATCTCGACTCATTTCCATTTTGGATGTTTGTTTTTTTTTTATCCAGACACTTAAATTTAGTATATTATATAATATGTATCAATTGTTAATTTTTGAAGTTTATACTAAACTAAACCTCACTATCGAGGATTTTTGGTCTTAACATGGTCGTTGAATGTGTAATTTTCAAAGATTTTATCGCTTATATATTAATAATTGATAAAGAGTGTCT